ATTAATTGTAAGAAGAAAAAGAGAGGAAGGCGCCTCTAAGTGCAGTATTAACAATTTATTAGTAGACAATGGAAAATTTGCACTTACAAGATAAATGGTTAAGACTCATTGTGTAGTAATTGGATCCAGGTGGGACATCCAGCCATCCAGCAGCAAGCTATGCCTATAGGATCAGGAAGTAGAGTCCAGGATGTGCCTGTGCATCAAAAATGACCTAGGTCTGAAGAAGGAGCCTATTGAGCATGCTCCAAAATGCATTACCGCCCCTTTCACCTGCTACATCTGACTCTGCTCTCCAAGCTTCATTTTTGATGCACAGGCATATCGTGGACTCTACTTCCTGATCCTATAGGCATAGCTTGCTGCTGGACGGCTGGATGTCCCACCTGGATCCAATTACCACACGATGAGTCTTTTTTAACCATTTATCTTGTAAGTGCAAATTTTCCATTGTCTACTAATAAATTGTTAATACTGCACTTAGAAGCGCCTTCCTTTCTTTTTCTTGTTACTGCATTAGAGCCTTGCTTCCACTCTAAGAGGAGCTGCCTCAGTGTTACTGCTCCCATCCATCCCTGATATCCATCTGGCACCTTTATCTTACAGCTACAGAGGTTGGGCTCCAACAAGCGCGCCCTATATAATATATACATTTTCATAGATTAATTGTCCCTGCTGATCCAGCCAAGATAGAATTCATCTATGGGCAGGCTGCTCTCCAGTAAGAGCTTGTTGGATTTTTTGCATGCGATTACTGCCAGTGGCTATAGCCGCTAGCAGTGATCATTGTGTTCTGCTGCCAGAACACAACAGCGCTGCTGGAGGGATTCCCTCATCAACACAGTGGCTTTGGCTTGTCTTCGTGTTGTCAGCCCAAAGAAGGAAGTACTGTTACTGGCAAAATCTCCAGGTGAGAGACCTATTTACAAAAAAACTATTTGCCTAAGAAAAAAATGGTATAAACAGTGAGACATGATGCCACACATACTAAAAAAAAAAAATAGCGTTTACATACACTTTTACAATTCTCTACCTTAGGCTTCATGTAAATAGGCATCAAACCATTTAGCTTTGAGGGAACACAACAGGTCAGAAAACCAGGAGCTGACAGTTCCAACATGTTTTTAGAACAGTCTCCAGGATCATGACTCTCATCCTTGTCTATAGGGATGAGCTCAAACGGGTTTGGATTCTAGTCTGAAGCCAACTGAGCTATCCCACCCGGCAGCTGTGACAACACTTTGCCAATCATAAAAGGCCAAGGCATTCATAGATGCAGGGCATGCCTTGGCCACCTATGATTGGCAGGGCGCTGTCACAGCGCCCTGATGGGATAGGTTAGTTGGGTTTGCAAACATGCCTGAGCTCATCCCTACTTGCCAATTTAGGGAGGTTCTGACCCAGGAAAAGTATGCAGCCAATGAAACTGAAACATATGACCTGCATACATGGGTGAGTAACACCCTACGAAGAGAAACAAAGATGGATATTAGTCATAAGAAACAAGTCAGTATAGTCAGATTCCTCATTTCATGACAAGTTCACCTTAACTCATGGTACATCCATCCATGAAATATCTGGCAGGAGCAAGAGAACCTCTGTTCACCATGATGGGAATTAGATGTCATACACAAATTTAGATGGGGCAAAAAGCATACATTCAAGTGCACACCATTGTTGACATTCCCCATGCATGGTTAAAGAATTCTTCTCTTATAGAAGACCAAAAAACACTTGCACCCGCCAACATGCAGAAAATAAAGTGGATTGGATTTGATACCCAAAAAAATGAAGTCTCGTCAACTTCCAAATGAGGAACAAAAAGTTACAAGAAGGGGTAAACTCGCTAGCACAATATTGTAAGATTACATTATAATAAAGGGCCACTTAACAGATTAGAAGTTTTTTAAATGTTTAGCAGATTACCTGGACTAACATTTACCAAAGTTGTAGAAACAGGGAGAAAGTTTCTCTTGCCAAGCTCAGGGATTCCAATAAGGTGTAAGGTATCAGTTAGTCTAAGCTTGCTGATAATATGGCAAACGTTTGCACAGCATGTTAATATCTACTTTTCTGTGCAAACCTGGAAACCTTTAAGTACTTTGTTCTTCTATTAGGAGCAATTTTTGGTTTAGGTATACAGTACATCGCCTGTGCTGGTTTTAAAAAATGGCCAATGAATTATCAGCAAGAAGCACTATAACTTTAAATAGAGTAAATACAAATTTGGAAGTTGACCAAATTAGAATTAAAATGTTAAAAATGAACATTTATACAATACACACTAAACAAGACATCTACACAAAAAAAAGCAACATCATAGCAAGTCAATATGTGTTAGCATTAGCAAGCAGTTAATGAGGATTTTAGGATTTAATGAGCAAGAGTCTCTTCTGGACTATGCAGAGTAAAAGGACTTGTTTTAAACCTATATGGGCTATTGTCCTCTTAAGGTGACAGATTTTGACTGGGAGGAAGAAATATGGTAGGGGACCCCTGATATGCATGTGCTTGCCCCTTGTTGGTGGATCTCCAAGTTGAAAATGAAAGATAACAGATTTGGAACATGCAACTTCAAAAACAAGGTCAGCAAAGGCAGTTACTTCTGACTTGACAAGTATAAATTTTGTTTAGATTTAGGAGCACCATGGGGCTCTACTGCTTGGATTGTTGTAAGAACACCATATGCTAGTCCGTAAGATACATATGAACTGTCTGCTACAAAACCAGTATGGCCAAATGTTATCATGTAAATAGATTCACACCATTGGTAATCTTCCAAAATGAGCATTGAACCCCAAAAACCTTGGGCACTTTGGGAGCTTTTATCCTATTTGTGGACCCTACCCACCATTGTTCACTGTTAGACCTTCAATACGATGGGAAGCATTACTGAAGTGCTGGAGTTGGTAGGGGGTGAAGTGAATACACAACTTTCAAGTTCATGTTGGCATTTTGCATATTATGAGTGCCTTACCTTTTTTTAAAGTGTAATGCCATTTAAATCCTAACTAAGGCTAAACTACTCCCACCCCCATTCTAAGGCTATTCTATCTACCCTATGAAGGAAAAGATGCCTATACTTGCCTGTTCTGAAGCCTCTGCAATCTGGTCACATGCTTGGGTCCCAGAGCCAGTTTCAGTGTAGAGGAGGGACAGCTGACATTGGCTGCCCCATAGTAAGCCTATAACTGACGTCACTGCACAGGCTCTGCAGCCATTGTTACTGTGTTTCCTCTACCCTGAAGATGATGCGGGGACCCAATCAGGTGAAGCAACTTCAGAATAAGTATAGGCATCTTTTCTTGCACAGGGCAGATAGAATAGTTTGAGAATGGGGGTGGGAGTAGATTTAGCCTTGGTTAGAATTTGACTGGAATTACACTTTAAAGGCTTATTAGACCACTTTAAAAGATTTCCATCTCTGGAGGCCTGTATTGTCAAGCTGAAAGATGTTGACCAACTTGAATTCTTGCAAAGATTTGTTTTAAATCTAAATCTCTGACAAGTGGGGGGATCACCCCCTAAAGATGGCCAAATGCCTGTTAACAGATAAGGGTAAAATGTATCTGTGCAAAGACTATGGATATGAGAGTATTTTTATGCATGTAGCTTAGTGGATAACACTTCTGCCTTGCAGCACTAGGGTCGTCAATTCAAATGCCAACCATGGCACTACCGGCATAGTTTGCATGTTCTCCTTGTGTTTGTGTTGGTTTCCTCCCACACGCCAAAGACATACTGGTAGTTTAATTGGTTCCAGTCTAAGCTGGCCCTAGTATGTGTGTATGCCTATGAAATAGGAACCTTAGATTGTAAGCTCCTTAAGGCCAGTGACTGATGTGTATGTACGGTATGTAAATCGCTGTGTAAATTGTCGGTGCCTTATAAATACCCGATTCTAGTCTACTCAGTAGTTGGCTTCAAAAATGAGCTGGGAGAGTTTCTAAATGCACATAATGTAATGCACAACATATGAAAAAGTACTGCATAAATCCTCTGCACTAAACACTTGTAATAAATATTACCAAGCAGTAAAAGAGCTTTTAAACAAGCCCTCACTGACTGCTGCAGCTACTGTGGGATAGAAATGAGGTTGGGGTTAGCTGTTGCCATGTGTTTGCACGTGCAAGGTTCCCAGCCAAAAGTTTGGGAATCTTGGGAATTCGCTGCACAGTCAGGCCAATGTTAAGAAAACACTTATAATGCAGTATATAGCTTTTGCCCCAGTCAGCTGAGTCACAAGAGCCAATAATTTAAAAAAAAAAAAGGATAGCCAATGTTGGCATTGGTACATGTCCCTATGCCAGTACATGGTTTTCCATGCCTTTTGTGTGACAATAGCTTGTTTGCCCCCATAGACTTTCATGGTGTGCGCTGAAAAGTTTGCAAAACTGTTGGTTTGTCCATACTGTGGAGTAAATCTCTAAAACTAAAACAGGGGCTCTAAAGTCCAATTGGTTTCAGAACAGCTTACATGAGAGGGCTGGCAGAAAGTAAACAGCGGAACTGCCGTTTCCATGCTTTTGCTGTGAACTTTGAAGATAAATTTATCTACAATGCCTGCAGCTACAAAGGAGGTTAGTGAGGATTTCTTTTAAAGCCCTTTATGTTGCTTGTTAATAATATAAATACTTTAATGTCCATAGTCTGACCACAGGCGCATCTTAGTATTATCTCTCTACTTAAGATTTTTTTTTTTTTAACTGAAAAAAAAATGAAAGTCAAAACGGTCCCTAAAAAGAAAAACAAATGTTGCTTTAAGTCTGATATAGGGAATTTATCATGCATTCCACGGCATGCATTGTACAAAGTCACTTGCAGAATGATGGGTAAAATGCACCAATGTAGTTATCCAATGACTGCATGCTATGATGAATGGGTCAATCTCTAAGAAACTGGCATAACCAGAGAAAATTCACTAAAAAAGATGTAGACTGTGCGTATTAAAAAAAAAAAAATATAAAAAAATAAAGTGTGAGGACAGGAGGCACACTTACCTGTGGAGAGTTGCCATCGGCGCTGCGGTTATCCAGAGCCGCCCGCAGCTGCTGGTTACTCCGCTCTGCCTGCTGAAATTGTTGCTGGAGCTGCAAGTACTGATCTCGCGGCACGGTGGCACAAGCTTGCTGCTGGAGCTGAGAGTGGCTATGGCTCAGGCTGGTCGGTGAGTGCAGCATCTGCAGTACAGACAGTACACATTACAGATCTATTACTCTCCACCCTAGGTTTATTCAGAGAGGCAGTTCAAAGAGCAGCGTCAATGTTATACACTGTAACAACCAAATGGGTAGATTTCTGATTGCTTGCTATGGAGGACTGTGCTTTTGCACTCCTCTACTAAATATACCCGCCTCTCTTCATGACTCGGGCACACCATCTTTTTATACCTCAAAAAAAAAAAAAAACCTGTAGATTTGCTATTCTATAGCCTGATGAGTTGCAGAAAAAAAAAAATAAAACGAGAGTCAGTTTGCCATAAGCAAGACCTTTCTTTCCTTAAAGGATATTTCCACACCAAGCTGCTATTTTAAGTTTGAGTGAATGTAGACTTAGGAATTTGCCATTGGCTTTTTTTTTTTAATCAGCCTGGGACTCCAGTAGTCAGCTCCCAGCTCCATCCACTTGTCATGTCTATTACTGAGGTTATCAAATATATATATATATATGGAAGGTGCCCAATTGGGAGCAGCTACTAAGTTTGTCCAGGATGCAAGCCTTTTCCAGATCTCAACCATGCAGGCTTGCAAATGACACCTATGAAAATCTATATTTCGTTAAAAAAAAAGATCTGCAGTTTTGCAATTACTCAAACTTCAAGAAGTCCCTTGAAGCTCTATACAGTTACTTTCCAATTTAATTTTGCAAGTTTGCCGTTTATATACTGATTTACTTTGTTGCATTGGGTGCTTCCACATAGAAGGTCTTCAGATGCCCAGAAACTTTACAGTTATGTATAGCAAAAGCATTTTTTTTTTCAGTTTTGGATAGTGTAGAAGGGAAGGGGTCCTATCATGCTTTTATTGTTGCATGTACAGTTATGTTCAAAATAATAGTGTATTGAAAAAAGTGAATAAAGCTCAAAATCCTTCTAATAGCTTTTATTTCCATCCACACAAATGCATTGGGAACACGACACATTCTATTCCAAATCAAAACATGAAGAAAAATATCTCAAATTTGTGTTGTTCCTCTAAAAAAAATTGAAGAAAAGTGAATATTAGACGGTTCGAAAAAAAGTGTTTGTATTCTTCTTTACAAACTCAAACATTCACTATATGAACGGAAAAATGTTTGAAGATTTTGCTTTCCTTTGAATCCCTTAATATTTGGTTGTAGTCGCACTGTTTCTGAGAACTGCTGTACATCTGTGTTGCATGGAGTCCCCCAACTTCTGGCCCCTGTGATCAGGTATTCCAGCCCAGGATGATTGGACTACATTCCACAGTTCTTCTCTATTTCTTGGTTTTGCCTCAGAAACTACATTTTTGATGTCACCCCACAAGTTTTCTATTGGATTAAGATCCGGGGATTGGGCTGGCCACTCCATAACGTCAATCTTGTTGGTCTGGAACCAAGATGTTGCAAGTTTACTGGTGTGTTTGGGGTTGTTGTCTTGTTGGAACATCCATTTCAAGGGCATTTCCTCTTCAGCATAAGGCAGCATGACCTCTTCAAGTATTCTGATGTATTCAAACTGATCCATGATCCCTGGTATGCGATAAATAGGCCCAACACCGTAGTATGAGAAACATCCCCATATCATGATGCTTGCACCACCATGCTGTTTTTCAAAGAATAAATGACCTCACTAATAGAACTCCACACTGCTATTATTTTGAACACGCCCCTTTCAATTAGTGATTCAATGACACAGAATCAGCAGCATGCATGTCATGACTGTTGGGTCTGTTGGATTTCTATTACTCTACTACACCTGCTAGTAAATTATTTGCCATGTAGAAATATCATTTCTACCAAAAACAGTGATTGATCAGGTTAGTGATGTCTGACTGCTATTATTTTGAACACACGTGTACCTTCTCTTGGGAGATTCACTCGTTTGTCCTGAAGACCACAGTCACTGGTACAGAAAGTGATGGGGAATCAAAAAATTATAGTCGCCAAAACAGCCCTAGAATGGAAATTTTCTGAAGGAGACCTTAGAACTAGCGACAACTCTCTATAAGGGGCTTTACACACATCTTTTTGTGTCTTTGGAACCTGAAGTGGAGAAATATCCCTATTGGCAAAATGAAAACTAAAAGAGACCCAGCCAATTGTAATTTAGTATGCAAAGTGCTTATTCATAAAGCTAGATTAGCCTTATGGAGTACACATGTAGCATGCAAAATGAGTTATAGCTGCTTCTTGATCACTCTATGTAATTTTTTTCTGCAAGTTCAATAAACCTATCAATTTATGCAAGTGATAGTCATGGACCGGTTCTATATTATCTTATCATTTATAAATCGGTGTCTATAAACTAATACTCTCTGTAATACCATGTGAAACCGTACTAAAAAGTCCACCTTTCACCCTTGAAAGTATAAATCAATTGTAATAAACCTTTTTAGTGTCCTTTAAATTTGTGAAATACCCAAAACATGTCCATAAATCCTTCTCCAATTTCTGTAAAAATCGCCGTATGAGTCCAATAATTACTGTGCACCTCAAAACAAAGAACTCAATAGTGCATTATCCTCAAAAATTGTTAAATCTATAAATAATAACCCAATTAATTCCTCGTGGATTTCATGCACAAAAAACACACAAATCATGAACACACTAGTGATAGTGAAACACTCTGTATAATATTTAGATATACACTTCTCTGTGACCATTCAGTGGCACATCTAAATGGCCAGCCTTATATGAATATAGGAATCCAGAGAGGGATATACACCAACTAGATCCACATGGAAACATGAAATATGTATGAAAGTATAAAGATCCATGCTTTAATAAAATCTCCTTACATATAAACCATAGAAATTTGCATTAAAAATCCCATGACTCCACCTCAAGCAGCTTCCAGGAACACCAGACTGTGTTTCCCACACTAAAGATGGCCGCTCCGCTACTTCTGGGCAACATCCAACGTCATGTCCCTTGACTTCCTCATAAGGGGTCCTGGCGTTCCTGGAAGCTGCTTGAGGTGGAGTTATGGGATTTTTAATGCGAATCTGAAGGCATCCATGTGGATCTAGTTGGTGTATATCCCCTCTCTGGATTCCTATATTCACTATCACTAGTGTGTTCACGATTTATGTGTTTTTTTGTGCACGAAATACATGAGGAATTAATTGGGTTATTATTTATATATTTAACAATTTTTGAGGATAATGCACTATTGAGGTTTCTTTGTTTTGAGGTGCACGACAATTATTGGACTCATACGGTGATTTTTTCAGAAATTGGAGAAGGATTTATGGACTTATTTTGGGTTTTATTTCACAAATTTAATGGAAACTAAAAAGGTTTATTACAGCTGTTCTGTATTATGTTGAATAATCATAGCTGAGTGCAGGAAACCTTTTACATGAGAGAATTGTCAAGAGAAGTAAGATACTCAAGTATGTCTTCACAATAGTCATGGTAGGGATTGAGCCAGGAACTGGAACTTTGGTAGAATCCGTAAAAGATAATAAAACACACAGATTCAACCAGCAAGCATACACAAAAGCTGAACAAAACTCTGTTCTCAAGTCTTTGCTTTTAAAGGCTAACTCTATATTAAAATGATACTTCAGATTTGGGTGGCTTCTTGAATATCTCAGGGGCCCCAATGATGAGATGACCACCAGGTATTTCCAATTCCTTCCCCATAATGCCGAAATGATGTCATGGGAATCCAACTGCCGGAGAATGAGCCTTTTGTTTTGGCCAGCAGCAGAGAAACTAAATTATGTAGGAAAATATCACCAATTGACTCTCCAAGAAATAAGAAGCTGAGATAGTGCCAAATTGAATTGGTTCTTGGTAGAATTGGCCTTTAAATTTTGGGATATTTTTATCTTGAACAGAATTTTTGTAAATTATTAGCAATGTCCAGACAGAGAAGATGTTTGAACAATCGTGCAGCAATGGTGTACTACACATCAGACAATATGCACCACACATCAAAAACCATGCAACACACTCAAACACAAAATGTTGCTGTCGGCCAATAGCTATCTTACTGACTAGTTAGAATTTAACATGGCTATTGGAAATAAAAATACAAAGTATGAGTTTGTTTTAAAATGTAGCAGTCCTTGAAATGAACACCATAACTAAAGTTGAAAAGCTTTTCTCAGAACCAGACCCTGTCCATTCATGTAACCACCCCTTCACTGCATCTTAACAAAGCAGCCATTGTGTTGTAATGGTCTACTTCCCCCTACCTTAGGCATGTCTGATTGGTAAAAGGGGGTGGCCATACACAGGGGCTAAATTACAGTTCTAATAAAATAATTTTAAAGAACAATTTCATCCATTTTTTAATTTTAATGGGAGTGGCAAATGGTTAAACCTCTGCTAAGTTTTATTGGCATCTTGGGAGGCTGTACTGTATATTCCATAAATGTTTTTCTACTATTTATTTTGAGTGCATGGGATAGATTCCAGCTGCAAGCATGTTCCAATGAATGATTTATGTATTTACAATTAATATGGATGAGTTTTTAATTTTAATGTTTTTTCATGAGAACCATGTCCTTCGTATTTTTAGCCATTGTGGAATAGAGTTTATAAGTATTATTACCGCTAACCTTTTCTGCATGTATATTGCTGAATGGTAATGTAATTGGATGTGGATATGATTTTGTATTTTTACAGCAATTATGTAATCTTTTTTTTTTTTTTTTTTTTTGTAGTTGCCTTTTCTTGTTGTGAACATTAAAGATTTTGGACCTGCATTTCTTTGGTCTGGCAAGCTTAATAGACTTTTTACACAGAACATGGAGTGGCTACACACAGGTACTAAAATGTAGTTATAGTTAAATATTTTAAAGCAAATTTATTTGTTAATAGAGTGCAGAATAGTTAAGTATACTAGTTTTTTTTACCTCTAAATGTTTTTACTCACTTCTGTCCCCCTTTTGGAAAAGCCAAAAACAACAATAAAACAAATTTTTAAGCGGAGTGTAAAACTGCCATTTGTGTTCTCATTTCAGAGGAATTCCCTCACTGCTGGTCTCTGCAGCACCATGTATCAGGGGTCACTGCGACCAGAACCCAAAAATTGACAATATAACTGGTGCAGGAAGCAAAGACAAACCCCTGCAATGGAGACCCAAACGGATAAAAGCCCCATTAAAGATTCTAAACCTTCCCCCATTATATCCAAAGCTAGAAAGAGATTTTGACTCCAGTAAGGAATTTTTTGTTTTTTAATTAAAAAGGAGAGAATTGAAACCCATGTCCACCTCCCATCCTTTTGACATGGGAGAAAAATAGGGGCTGACATTGTGGATCTCTCAAAAAAAAAAAAAAAAAAAACCATTTTGAAACCAATTTAATCATGAATGTTGCAGGTCTATGGCTCAAATCTTTAGCAGACACAGCCAAGGATTTAGTTCAGGTAGGCCCCTTTCTCCCCTTCACATGCAGAGGATTCTGTTGCAATCAGCACGAGATCTGTGAGCCGATCCCCCCCCCCCTCCTGATCAGAGCAGAGCGGGAAGATGACACATCCCTGTCTACTCAGTATCTGCAGAACGGACACAGGCAAAGCCCATTCTGTCCGTTTACACTCCAATCCACTCAAGGTAAATGGAGGACAAAGTCCTCTGCTTTTTTTTTTGTGTGGCCTGATTTAACACAGAGAGGTAGGTGTCAGTTTACACCTGTCTGACCATAGGGATGAATGAACCATCCAACCAGGTCCACCTGAGGAACTTACAGGTGGACCTGATTGGAATGCCCATCTGAAAGGGGCCTTAGAGGTTAGCAATTGCATCCCCTACTTGTCTCATGTCCAAGTCACTAAGTGTGGTAACTCTGAATAAGGCTAGCTACACACAGCCTGTAGGATAACAAAATGGATTACCCTCTCCATGCTATATGACAAGTGGAGGGATTTCCTGCTGCAGCTTTTGAATTCTGACACCCCGGCACAGGTGGCTGTTAGAATACCCAAACAGCCCCTCAGATGCAGCCAATGCTTGGCCGACAATCTCCAAGCTGTCCCTTTCGATTATTCAGTTCGATGAATGTTGGTTGGGGGGTGCTGACAGGACCACGAATTCTTGACCAGTTCATCAGGAACCAGCGGGAATTCAAACAACTTATTACTAGCTTTAGTCATCAATAGTATCCCCTGAAAGGTGTAACAGGTCTCCTAAGCTGAAAGTAAGCTATCAACTTAGGAAAGCGCTTACAAAAATCCTATAATTTCAAATGCTGTGGGACAGAAGTAACACCATGGCATGCTAGACATGATCTAGGTAAATGCTGAGTCTTGTGACTTCATAAGAATGGAATATGGAAAGGATGAACAACACAGACGCATGGGCATGCAGTGTGTTACAAGAAGAGCATTGATAAAACTTTACCATCTATCTCAGAATCAGAACTGCACCCATCTCTGAGATTTCCTGAGGTCTATACACAGGGAAGGCACAGAACAGGGAGACACAAAATAAAACATTTCATATGCGAAACATAAAACATACGCAGTACAACAATCTCTGCAGCTGTCATATGATAACTCCCCACTGATATAGAAATACATTTTAGACAATTTTCCACTTCCAAAGTTATGGTAGGGGAAGGTCCATTTATGTTCCAGGTTGACTGTGCCCCTGTGTGCAAAGCCAACTCCATGAAGACATGGTTTGAGGAGTTTGGTGTGGAGGAACTGGAATGACCTTCACAAAGCCCCGACCTCAACCCTACTGAACAATGGGGGATGAATCGCAATCCCGATTGTGATCACGTCTTCTCATCCAACATCAGTGCTTAAACTCACCAATGTTCTTTTGGCCGAATAGGCACAAATTCCTACAAACACATTCCAAAGTCCTGTGGAAAGTCTTCCCTAAAGAGTGGAGACTGCTCTACCTGCAAAGGTTGGAATTCCTTGTTAAAAACAGAACACCATCCAAAGCTTTTTTTTTTTTTTGGTCCAACAGCTTGGCCCTGCACATCAATCACTCCCTACACTAAGAAGAGGAACTGTCATGAATGTTTTTGGGAGAAAGGCAGAGCAATGCTGGGTGATCGTTGGAATGGGGACAAAGGCAAGAGCTCCAGATACTCAAACTGGAGCTGCATGTTGTATTTAAAGGCTTCAATAAGACTGCTTAAAGGGTCTGTAAAAATTGCTGTACACCATGCTCTTATGCAAGATGAAACTCATATGTATAAGACATTACAGAACATTCTTTCCTACACCTTCCACATGTGATTTAATCATTGCTACATCGGATTCATCTAAGGGAAAATCCTCAAACATGACCCTCAGAGATTAGATGATGACAATTTATAGATAATAAATCAGATGTTTTATCCACTTACTTGCACGAGATGATCATCAAATTTCCCCTGATTTTTCCGTAAACCTTCATTCTCCATTTTCAAAGTTTCCATTTCTCTTTCGAGTGTGCTCAGCTGACTAATCTGAAATGCAGAATGAGGTTTCCTTAGGTTACAAGCAAGGAGTGGACATGACTCCGCCAACTAATGAGCTTATTTAACAGGCATAGCTAAAGCAGCTAAAATGGATCAAAATTCGGCCTGTTCCTGCTTAACTAGCCAAATTTCGATCAATGTATGAGCACTTACATTGTACAGAAGTTGAATAATTGATCAACTTCAGCACAACTGCCCCATCATATTTTACACAGCTAAGTTAAACACTTACAGGTCTTCTCTCTTCCCCAGTCTGTGACTGGACAGTAAGGGGAGAAGAATCAGACTGAGTTATCTCCCTTCACTCTGCTCTCTCCTTCTGTCTGCATTTCTCTTATCGCAGATTTTAAAACGTATTTGTTTCCTGGAGTTTGACGTGAACAAGTTCAGATAATGTAACAAATATACAGAAATGTGCACGAAGACTAATCCTTTGCTACTGTTAACCATGGATTACATAAAAAGGAAGTTGATTTTTGGTGAGCTGATCACAAAAACACAACAGGGCCTTATTCTAAATCCCATTTACTAACCAACACTGGAAGGATCGTAACTGGAATTAGGTTGCAAAGAACAGCACAGACATTTTCATCCAGTCCTATGTGAATTCCAAAGTAATGACATAACCCTGTACCTACCATTCCTCATAATACCTCCAAAAGTGTGAGGGAAATGCGGTTTACTTATTAGATCAATAATATGGTGGAGTAGCAGGAATTAGAGGCAGTTGTGCATGGTAACCAGCTTCTATCTTTCATATTCAAAGCTTAACTGAACAAGCCGATTGGCTACCATGCTCAGATGCCCCAAACTCTGTCTGCTCCAGTTTTGATCAATTATCCCCACATTCTTTATTGCAGGCAATCTGTAAGAGGAGAACAGACCTTCCTGTTTGCAGAGGTTAGCTCTAGCTGTAGCTGGTCACACTCTCTTCTCAAGCTGGACTTCTCCTGTTCTAAGGCTTTCACCAGGCTTGACTGGTTCCCCTGTTTTTGGTGTTTCAGAGAGATTACAGTAGATTCAAGCTGCCGCACCTACAACCACATCAATGGAAAAAAACATTGAGACCTGTGACATCGGGGAAACAATATACATTTTAAAGTAGAACTAAAGCCCAACACAATCCCCCCCCCCATTTTGGATAGAGTAAGGGAGCATTATAACCACTGTGAGGCTTTTTTGCCACCCATTTCCCACTGGGAAGATTTTCCTGTCCCGTAGCTACAACAGGAAATGAGAGGAAATCCCTGGGTTGTCACCAGAACTAGTGTCCTTAGTGGTGGAAGTTTTCCTATTTCTTTTCTGATGACAACTCAAAATTTTATTTCACTCTTGAAGAGAACGTTGATCAAAACAAATAGAGAGGGTGAATATCCCTAATGGGGGCATAGACCGCAATAAAAACTTGACAGGTGTTCTAATCCCTCTTCACTATCCAAAACATTTTGGCTGAAGCTGCACTTTAAGCCTTGGGCACCAATGCCTCCTGGCCTTTTAATGGGTTTGGGAGGCGGGGCAGAGATTAGGGTCATGTGATCGCAGTGATTTTGCTGTCACATGAGTGGAAAGCTCCCGATCGCTACTTGTCGGAGGAGCCAATAAATGTGCCAGGAGTGTGCTCTTGGTGCTTTTTGTTTACATTGGGTATGCAAATATGCAGCCCCTTGTCGCCAAGGCCCAGCTGCATATTTGCGTAAGCTCTGGACCAAGAAGTTAAAGTAAAAACAAGATGTTAGATTTTTTTTTTTGGCTCATTGGTTCAAAAACAAATATCTTTAAACCAACGAATTTTCACAAGCACACTGTGAGAAGTATAGGGGCAGCAATTGGTAAACACACACAAATGGATAGCTCCCAAGCTACCACAGATTCTATTTATGGTAATTTTTTATATTTGCAATCAAGCATGACCTACCACCAAGCCAAACACTAACTGACTGCTATGCACAAATGCAATAATGGAGATCTGTGCCTGGCATGCCCTTCACATGTATAATCATTAGGTGAAGGCATGGACATCTTATGAGCAGTGGAAACTGGGCACAGCCAATCCAGGTTTTTTATAAGACCAGCATGCCCACTCTTCTTTATTCCACGTTAATTTCCTGGTCTTTGATAAGTGGAGCTCCTTTTCTATTCATAGCCTTTTTTTTTTTACTATGGTCTACATCTTTGCGTCTGTCCCAGTGTTTATTCTAGACCAGTGGTTCTCAACCTTCTCAAGACCCACGCCACATAAAACCTTCAATGCCCCAATATTTAAAAACACAAACAAAAAAAAAAAAACACACACAGAAGTATGGGAATGTAAAATATGTATTGAAATACTGGAAGACTCTGGATGTGTGTCACTGTGGGGAGCAATGGGAGCTCTGGAGGGGATTAGGGGACACTGCAGCAGGCTTGGTGGCCCTGTAGGATATGAGGTTTCTGGGAGGGGCTGGGGTCTCTCTAGGAGGCTGGGGACTTTTTGGGGCACTGTGGGTTGACTGCAGGGCACTGCAACAGCCTGTAGGCACTGCTGGACATTTGGGACACTATTGGAGGCTATGTAGTAGTCTGAGTGGCACTGTGGGAGGGGGCTGGGAGGTACTTAATGGGGCATAGGGGCAACCAGGGAACTGGGAGGTACTGTGGTAGGTTAGGGCATCTGCAGCAGGATGGAGGTCACGGGTGAACCAAGGCTGTGGATTGGCAGCAGGCCATGGCCTGGTAGTTGAGAAAAGTTCTAGGCACAGACTAAGGGCTATGGCAATAAGCAAGAATCTCCTCTTGCATCACCCTTCATTGGCGCTACTAAAAAACTAAACCCCCTACCTTTCCTCTGTGCAGGAAAGGCTATGCTGTAGCTTCCAAGCACAAAGCTTTAAGAAAACAGAAAATCTTCATGTACTCTTTATGACAAGTACACACTTCCAACGGGAACATCGGTCCACATTGGTCTCTCACACCACTAAATTCAGAAGGCCAGTTTTCATTGTACACTTCCCACATTACCTTCTCTCTGGTTTGTGCCAGGTCAGACTTGGTATTGTGCACTTCCCTCTGCAGTCGTTCATTCTCCTGTCTCAAAAGCTGCTGTTCCTGTTCCATCAGTTGCTCCAAGTCGTCCCAGTACTGCTTTTTCTGCTGGTTCTGTAGCCCTGAGGATTGTATGGCCATTTCCAAGACCTGTTTCTGGAGAGAAGGAAATCATTTACATGGAAAATAGTGCACTACAACAAACATACATGATCTTTAAGTGAAAAAAAAAAAAAATCACCATGTAGAAAAAAAGGAGACCCCCTACCACTGGTTTCAATGCCCATGTCTCTGATCTTTCCCCTCTTGCAGAGCTACAGCAGCCAAGAATATTCCGTATACAACACCCTTCCAGGTGTGTCTTATGTCTTCACCCCACCCCTTTGCCTATTGTATCCACCTCCTGTTTTCTAAAAGCAGCCTGTAGTGGGTGCCGCTGATACTTTTACAAGGTGATAGCTGGATTTACAAAGTTGTTTTTGAACAATATATTTTAATGTAATTGACCACTGTTCAGCTTTAAATACAACTATAAGCTCAAATACAAACGTAAATTTAGATGTGCTGAACATATAACCATCACCTTTGCATTAGCATTTTGTAGCTGTTTGTGCAATGACATCACTTCCTGTTTTAGAGATTCTTTTTCTTGCTGCGCAACACGAAGATCAGACTTGATGCGAGACATCTGAAGATTGACATTCTGCAAACTCTCTTCCAGGTTCTGGATCTGAAGTTTAAAAAAAAAAAAAAATTGCATTATGAAAGGAAATAATTTTAACATCTTCCCACCCAGCCCTGGCATAGTTTTTAAAGGAGTTTTCCTGCTCTAGGGGGCAGGGTGGATTTCCTGATCATGTGACCTCTGCTTGTCAGAGTGGTCACATGATCGGGAGCATGTTCCGCTGGCTCCTGATCATGACCAGATTTCAAGAGCGCATGCTTAGCACAGAAACCTTAACTGTCCATGGACACATATGTACAGCATGTGGGTGTTAAAACCCACCTTCTGTGCAGTCACACATATGCATTACATGGGTGGCACAAGGTTGAATTGAAAATATATATATTACACATATACACACACACACATATACACACACAAATAAATACATACATACACACACATACATACACACCATTCATAAAGTATTCAGACACCCTTTACTTTTTTGAATATTGTTATGTTGCAGTCTGATACTACAGTGGTTTCAATTCATTTTTTTCTCATTCATCTACATGCAGTACCCCATAATGACAAAGTGAAAACAGAATTCTAGAAATGTTTGCTATTGTATGAAAAAGAAACTGAAAAATATTTCTCTTGATCATTGCAGAGATGTTTCTACACCTTGATTGGAGTCCACTTGTGGTACATTCAATTGGACATAATTCAGAAAGGCAAAGACCATGAGGTCAAAGGAACTGCCTGCAGAGCTCTTGCAAATTTCAAGCAGACTTTCATGTGTTTTTCACTGAGGAGAGGCTTCCGTATAACCACTCTGCCATGAAGCCCAGATCAGTGAAGGGCTGCAGTGATGGCTGTCCTTCTGCAACTTTGTCCCATCTCCACACAGGATCTCTGGAGCTCAGTTGGAGTAACCATCAGGTTCTGGTAACCTCTCTTACTAAGGCCTTTCTCCACCCCATTGCTCAGTTTGGATGGGCAGCCAGCTTTTGGAAGAGTCCTGGTTGTGCCAAACTTTTTCCATTTGAGAATTATGGAGGCCACTGTGCTTTTGGTAACCTTCAGTGCAGCAATTTTTTTTTTGTAGCCTTTCCCAGATCCGTGGCTTGCAATATTCCTGTCTCTGAGCTCTGCAGGCAAGTTCCTTTTACCTCATGGCTTTTGATACAGTATGCATTGTTAGCTGTGAGGTTTTTATTTTAAAGAAAGGTGTGTGCCTTTCCAAATTACATCCAGTTTAATTTACCGCAGGTGGACTCCAGTCAAGGTAAAGAACCATCTCGGCAACGACCAAGAGAAATGGGAGGCACCTGAGCTAAATTTTCAAGTATTGTTGCAAAAGGTCTGAAATACTTATGCCAATGTTATATTTCAGTTTTTCCTTTTTCATACGGCAAACATTTCTAAAATTCTGTTTTCAATTTGCCATTATGGGGTACAGAGTGTAGATTGAGTAAAAAAAAATGAATACAAACAACTTTAGTATCAGGCTGCAACATAAAATTAGAAAAGTGAAGGGGTCTGAATACTTCATCAGAAATTTTACACACACGCACTTTGATTGTGTTTTTTTTTTTAACTATCTTTTTGAAATAGAGTTGAAAAGGCTTTTACATTCATATAAAACTTTACAGTTAAAGTTTTACATTCACCTCCTTTCCTGAGGATGTAACAGAAAGTGAGAAGAAATCTCAGGTCATTAGAACTTCTGTCCTCAACAGGGGCGGACTGACCATTGGGAAACTCGGGCACTGCCCAGGGTCAGTAGGGGGCCCCATGAGATACCCCTGGTATCTTTTTCACAGGCTTTTTTGAGTTTGGGCAAGGACACAGGGGCCCCATGATCCCCTATTGCCCAGGGGACCCCATGAGTTGTCAGTCCGCCCCTAGCCCTCAATGAAAGATTGCCCTTCACTTTACTTCTCTAATGACTGCTCTGAAATTTTGGATTTACTCTCTCTGTCAGTTTCGAAGACAAAGGTCACCAGGACCAATATTAGGTTGAAAAGAACAAAACCTTGAAATAATGCTTCTACTCCTTCAGTGCTATGCACAATTAAATTACAAATGAAGCCAGATGGTGATCTCTTTTACCTTTTCCTGAGATGTTGTAAGTTGCGATCTTAGGGTGTTTGACTGCTGTTCCCAAGTTTTCTGTTCTTGTTTTAGGTTTGCAATCTTATTTTCGAGGTAGCCAACCTTGGCAGACTGTGGAAGCATTGCACCAAACAATATAAAAAAATATGACTGGTATTCATTTAATATACAAAATCAGTACTGGCCGTGTTTAGAGTAGATTGATAGGCCTGCAGTATTTGTGCAATATTTAGGCAATGGCACCACTTAGTAGCCTATTTATAAATGGATCCACCCATACTGTGGCTGCTGACTTAATATAACGACACTTAACAGCCCAGGGATCCAGCACTGTTCTCACCCAGGCTGGTAGTTCTGCTTTAAGTAATAACTTCAAATGGACCTTTACCTTAAATATGGATAAGCGATGGCAGAAGAACACCAAGAGGTCCATTGAGTTTGCCCATTTTTTTGTGTGGATGGGGTTAGTGTTTTTTTTTTTTAACTTTTTTTGTCTGAGTAAAGATCTATGCTTGTCCCAAGCATGTTTTAAGCCATTTACTGTTAGCTAGATAGAAACAAATATACACTTCCTTTCCCCTGCTTTCTCCTTTTTGAGTAGCCATTTGTTAACTTTTCTGTTTAAGAGAGAATGAGGTTTGCTTTGCCTCAATCCTCCCACCCTTGTTTTGTACATGCACTGATGTTCCACGGGGCTTTAGGTCTCGGAAGATCCCTTGGTGTGCCTGCACATGCATGGGGAAACCCCCCCCCCCAAGCCAACATGAACTGCATGGCTCTGATTGGACCCAGAGGCCAGGCAGAGCCCTCTGGCCTATCTACAAATATGGAGACACTAGCCTAGCTCTGAAGAAGGGGAATAGGTGCCTGAAACGCATCAGATGGTCCTGCCATTTTGTCTCTACTTGAAGGTGGAGAGCAGTCTTTACTGTGTGCTTTATGCATTACATGGTTTCAAAGTCACTTGGTTTGTGAGTATGACCTTTATAATTAATATCTTTCAATAAAGTGTCCAAAGATAACGTGCTAGGTATGTGCGCCCTGTTTTATGTTTCTATCTGCAAATATGCCAGAGTAAAGAAAGCAGGGGCGGGGGTCCTCTTTAAATTGACCAATAAAGGGCATTAAAGCTTCTTGGACAACTTAGATCCCTTCTTTAGGCTTCACATGTGAGAATTGCCCAAAACCTGAAGAAGGGATCTAAGTTATCACAAAATATTGGCATCTTTAATAACTTAAGTTTACCAATAAAAGGTATTGCTTAAACACAAAACTTTGTTTTATTAGACAGAAATGCCATTTGTGCCCTAATTTAGGTTCATTTAGTAAGAGGTGTCAACTTCGATTTCACTGTCCAATGAGAGTGCCCCTTCCAGTCACTAAAACACATATGACCTATATACACAGCAGTGTCCCATAATAACCATTGTTATATGAAGGCTTTAAGATCTTGCAAGGGTGTTAAAGAAATTTGCATTCCTAGCCTGCATTATTGCTGTAGGTAATGCCTCTACTTTCATTTCCCCAACCTAAAGTGATACAATGCCTCATTTAGATATGCGGCTTATAAAGCGGCTTATTCTCTATCAATTTTACCTTTGCCACGCAACTACCAAGCTCCTCCCCCAGTGTTTCCACCTCTTTCAACAGCTTGTCATTTTTATTCTTCATGAGTGAAATTTCATTCTTCAAGTCTGTGATCTCAGAGCATTTTGCAAGCTGTGGAAGGAATAAATGGCACTTTCAGAATGAGCTGGCTTTTAATGAACATGGGAAAGGAGTATTGAAAACAGTAAACTATATGAAAATTAGTTATTGAACGAATGGATTTAATCCCCATGGGGGATACTTAAAGTGTACCGTATGTAAACCCCAACAATGATGTTCACCTATTTGCTCCTTTTTGGTGTGGTAAATAAACCATTAAAAGCATTTATTATATCAGTTGGAGAAGTTGATCTGGTTCCATATTGAAATTCCAAGCTGCCCTGTCTGCACTTCCTGCGTTACCTCAATCAAGCCTCCTAGTTCTTAATTTGGACTACAGAACGATCAGCCTTTACAGTAGGTTGTTGAGATCAGCGAGTGGGAGTGGCTGAGTAGTTCAGGAAAAGACAGCATTTTTGTGGACTGAATGTTGTCAGCCCACAACTGGACTGGAGAGAAGTGCATTTCTGAAAACAAGAAATGAGGCAGGAAGTTGTACTACATTATAGTAGTAAGTGCTAAAGCGGACCGTACACTAGAATTGTTAGAAAATCTTAGTTTTAAGAATGTTTGGTCAATATTCTAATCATTGGCTAAGTCAAATCAACCTTCGCTTTGGACCGCAGTGATGAGATAGTTTGAAATAGCAGGATGAAAAATTAATAGCGAACAAAATTCTACAAGTGTATGTGGTTTTCTTTTGGGACAATTAATCCACTCCAAAATTGAAAGTTTGAAGCTTTTATTTAGTACTCTCCAACGACATTCATCATGTCCAGGGGCGGACTGACCATTTGGAAACTCAGGCACTGCACGAGGGCCCGGGGTCAGTAGGGGGCCCCATGAGATGCCCCTGGTACCTTTTTCATAGGCTTTTTTGAGTTTGGGCAAGGACACAGGGGCCCCAAGATCCCCCCATTGCCCCATGAGTTGTCAGTCTGCTCCTGGTCATGTCATTGAATGTACACATGAGATTTTTCCCATAATTATTCGTTTTGACATCTACTAGTCAGTGGCATCCCTAGGCACTGGGGGTTGCTCCACGAAAAGGAAAGTTTTAAAGCAAGCCAACGATCCCTGCAAGATGGATCGGATCTGTGGATTGAGCATAATGAATCTAAGTTCGATCCATTATGCTCCCCAATCCGCAGATCCGATCCATCTTGCGGGGATCATCGGCTTGCTTTAAAAAAAACTTTCCTTTTCATGGATCTCGTGGAGAGATCAGTTAACCCCGTATAGGTATGGGGAGCATAATGGTTCGGACTGCGATCCATTATGCTCAATCCGCAGATTCGATCCAGCCTGCAGGGTTCATCGGAGGGGTGACACCAAGTGTTACCACACCGGGTGACACCAACCCTAGGGACGCCCCTGCTACTAGTGTATGGCCAGCTTAAGGATCTTTAAACAGTCTACCAGCAAGACTGGACAGAGGGACGTTGAGTAGGCAGGGAGTGTCACCACAGTTGTGGGTAGTGCAGACTTTACTACAGACACACCAGAAAAAAAAAAAAACAGGTTTAAAGTTAACATGGTCTCACCTCCTTTGTCTCTATCTCTTGCCTCAGAAGAGTGTTCTCCTGCTCCAAGAAACGATGGCGTACTTTGATCTGTGACAACTCTTGCTCAGAATTCAAAATCTGGAAAAGGAAAGGTTATGGCCTTTGTAAGTATAACAACATTTGTATCTGTGCCACCACCTCTACTGGCTAGATACCTGAAACTTCGACTATTTACATCCCTATACAAGACGTTACAGTAGCTATTAAGGGTGGTGTGGCTGGACAGAGGGACAACGAGTAGGCAGGGAGTGTCCCCAAAGTTGTGAGTAGGCCAGACTTTAGTACAGACAAAATCAGAGGAGTACAAGATCAGAGCTGCTTCCTCTTAGGCATGTATTTTAAGAGCTACTTCACACTTTATTACTGTGTATTTTTCACTTTTAATTATTATTATTCAGTATTTATAAAGTGCCGATAGTTCGCTCAGCGCTGTACATTACAAAGGGGGACAGAACATGTGACAGAACAATAACAATACAATGCAAAACATGAGGGGATTGAGGGCCCTGCTCTTTCGAGCTTACACTCTAGGAGGGAGGGGATGGTGGCACAGGAGGAGATAGCTGTGGGGGATGGAGTGCTAGGAAGAGTGGAGGAGGTCAGTAAGTTAGCAGGGGGTGGGCTTCCCTGAAGAGATGGGTTTTCAGGGTGCACCTAAAGGAGAGGAGAGTAGGTGATAGTCTGATGGGTTGGGGCAGGGAGTTCCAGAGGATGGGTGACACCCTGGAGAAGTCCTGGAGGCGGGCATGGGAGGAGGAGACCAGGGAACTAGAGAGGAGGTCTTGTGAGGAGCGGAGAGTGCGTGCTGGGTAGTACTTGGATATTAGGTCAGTGATGTAGTTCGGGGCAGTGTGGTGGACGGCTTTGTAAGTCAGTGTTAGGATTTTGAATTTGATCCGTTGCGCAATCGGAAGCCAGTGGAGGGATTGGCAGAGGGGGGTGGCGGAAACGGAGCAGTTTGAAAGGTTGGAAATGTAGTAGCACCCTCCTAGGTAGGTGCTAGCTGCCACACTGTAGTTAGTGTGGTTGTAATTGTTGTTCAGTAAAAGCATAGCTGCATTCTAGTAGTCACGTTTGCTCAGTGCGTTCAGCTGCTGCCAGCCTGATAGCTCCCTCTGCACCCACAAAGCCATAGAACTTTCTGGATGATAGTTGTGGAGCTATGCAGATAGCAGCATACATATTGATACTGCCCTGGCCTATCCCAGAAAGACAGGCTCTGATGGAATGCTGGGACACTGTATATATTCAGTGAGCACACCAAGCTTGGGGTCTATCCTTGATCAGTCCAACCTGGAGGGGGCATGTTGCCCTCTCAGGCAATGCTGCTGCATCTGCTGTCGTAGGCCTCAGATGGGTGACCTGAGTACCTGAATACAGAGCCCCGGGTTCTGCTGAGAGCAGACTAAGGGGCTGTCTACTGAAGATCTGGTCTGGTATCATGGAGGAAGGTAACCAGATATCCCTGGGCCTTGTAAGTAAAGACACCTCTGAAAGGACCTTGGAGACTTTTTCCTTCTAAAACCCTTCCGGTGCTAGGGAGTCAGCTGTGGGTCTACTTAAAGGGGACACACCAGCTGGTGTCCTGAAGAGCTTTGTCCACTTAATCTCCTACTTGAAGGGACTCTGCTACTACTACCTTAAAGCTGAAGGCTGCTGTTTTTGTTTCAAGCACAGACTTTATTATAGCTTATCCTGAAGAATACCCAAGTCTTCAAGTGTGCATAGTTCTTGTTTATGGAGTATCCCACTTAACTCCCTCAATGCTATCCAAGTTCTCAAAAAAAAAAAAAAAAAAAAAAACCCGACACCTCTAGACTGGTCATTGAATAAACCTATGGTCCTGGCTTCAGGGCAAAGATTGTGGGAAACCTAGACAGTATTCCTGCGGCTCCTACAGGAGTAGTGCTACACTATTTTATATTTCCATAGTGTTGTTCTCCCTGGAAATTCAAAGCATTTATCAAATGGTGTTGGGGGCAGATAGAAGGGGAGGCAGCCATTTTGGGCACACACCGTAGAAATATCATACTGGGACCAATTTTTAGGAGCCAATTACCCTACCAGCATGACTTTGGAATGTGGGAGGAGACCAAAGTACACACCGTAAACCCTCACAAGCAAACAAAAGCATGCAAACTACACATAGTGTCCTGGACGGAATGTGAACGGAGGACCCCAGTGCTGCCAGGTGTAATAAACACCTTTACAACAAAGAATCCTTTCCACAGTGGAGGTTTCATGCTCTCAATTGACTACATAGTTTTATTTTATACCTTTGCCCTGTAGCTTTCAATCTCCTCTTTCATTTGACACTTTTCCCTTTGCCACTCTTCCAGGCCTTTAGCAGAATCCTTGCGATCTTTCTGCTTGAGAAACATCATGAGCCTGCAGTTCAGATCTTGGAGGTTCTCTTGATTCTTTGAGTTCTTCAAGAACAGTTCCTCGTTTTCTGAAACCAGCTGTTCATTCCTGGATGTTAATTCGGTTACCTGGTTAAAGGTAATTAAAGTCTATATTTAGTCATAATACAATTAAAGTATAAAATCTCATGACGTGAGATGTACATGAAAAGGATGATTCTCTTTATATCCCTGAACTGAAAATAGAAAAACAGCAACCATGAACAAAGAACAGACTGAGGATTCATAAGAGTGTCCATGACTCTCTCCACAAGTCCTTCGTGGCTCTGTATGACAAATGTCAGGGCAGCTACAGAATTATGTCTCGCCTGAAAACCTGCAAGTGCCACATGCAGATGCTCTCGGAGATTGGAGTATCTATACCAATCTTTCTCAACGTTTTTACTCCAGAGGGCGGCAACCTTGACATTTTTAGGTTTCAGTGAACCCCTGCCAAAACCAATTCATTTGGTATCAGTGGGAAAAATGAATTTTCCATTGTTGGCCAGTACAAAGAATGCCCCCATTACAGTGGTGGTCAGAATGCCACCCTAACAGCTAAAATGATCATGGATATCATGCATCTCGCTCTGCCAGGTGGTATTGGCCCTGGATGTATGCAAGCAGCATCAAAGAGAGTTCAGTTAGCTACTGCTCAATAGCAAGGTATGGAGGAACTCTAGGGCTACAATGAATCCTGGATGAGAATGGCTGGTTTATATGAACATCTATTCTCAGCTGTCTGGACAGATCCTGATACGGGTTCAGATATTAAGTTTAGTCCACGCTCCTTGTGACTGACAGCAGGCAGTGGGTGGATCCATAGCCAATAGATAGCCTGCTATTTGCTAAGGAATCTGCCTACTGCCTGTTGTCAAACACAAGGGGAGAGAGCTGACCTGATGGGGGTCTCCATCAGGCTCCATCCACTGTCAGCTTGTTGGCTGTGAAACGGACAGTGTTCTTGATGACCGGTGACAAGCAAGAAGAGGAGGATGTAGCAGCACCAGACATGCCTCTCTGCAACACAGCATACAGAGACAGGCACTGCCCATCTCTGTACGCCAACAGATTCTTAATTACCTACAGTTTTTTTTCTTTTTTATCTACAGGCAGGACATAATTCATTTTGAATGTAGTGCATCCAAAACTTTGTAAAATTAGCACTAATAAGAACCAATTGAATCTGCTGCATGTGTCGGTAAAGCTACCAAAACTGGAAGCAGACATTTTTGAATCGGGAACAGAACTTTTAAAAGAGGCCATACCACCAGAAAGGCATTTGTTTTACTGAATTTCCAACCTATGTCTGCATGTAATGATATCCCTCAATGTGCACTGCACATGTGGTTCAGACATGCTCATTAGAACGGAAGCGGCTTGGATAAGCTGCAAAACATTACAGAACAAGTCTAGTTGAATACAACAAACAACTACTAGATATCCCATGACCATGATCTATGGACATGTTGTACATTATTTTTATTGGGTTCCCAATTTACAGCCATTTAGGATACAACGCACATGCCTCTTAACAAATCCATCTGATAGACCTGCACTAAGTTGCAGTGTAATAAAAAAAGAAAAAAAAAAAGAAAAAAAGGTTAGTGTATGTTTAAGCCCAAGGAAGACCAAAGGTAAATAAACAATCATGAATGTTACAATGAACCCATCTGACCACTGGTGAAGAGGAGACTAATGCCCCATACACACGATAAGAAAATCGTCCGAAAAATTTCACGGAACCACTGATCGATTGATTTTCTTTCAGTTGATGAGCAGGATGTTTTAACCGATAACGGTATAGTGAATGAAAAAAATCCGGTTGCACAACAGTGAAAAATGTTGTCGTTTCGCATACGAACGACCGATTTTCTATGCGGCGGTATGACGGTCGTACGAAAAAAATTTATTAAGCGCTATCACGTATGAGCGGAAACAGAAGATGACCCGGATGTTTATGTCCAAGGAATCTTGGTAAACATGAACGAAAAATCCAAATGTTAAAAGTAGATTGGCCTAATGAGATAATGAAACCGGAATTCTGCAGATTATATTTTATGTATCACTATTTATGTATATAGGTCATGTAATAAACGATATTATACTCATTGCTGTTAATAATTGTATATATCGCGCGTTCTGGCCGGAAGGGCGTGGCTACAAGGTCACACGCACACCGCATCACTTCCACTTGTACGGAAGACGTCAACACTACGTATTGCCCAATGAACGATTTTTTTTTAGATTGGTTAATGTGGGCCACGATTTCAACCAACGAACGAACGCCTCTCGCCCATCGGATGACTGATTGATTTTCTAATCGTGTATTTCCACCTTTAGGAATGCTCCCTTCTTCCTTCAGCAGACGTCACTGCAGCTTAGGCAACATTACTCTGCTTAAACTCAAAGGGCTGCTTTTAATGCTAAAATGTGGAATTTTTCTAAAATCTAATGTTATGATTGTATATTGTGACATGTCAGGAGGTTAATGAGGATCTGTTGGTAACAATAAGAAGTCTACATGAATAATCTTTGTTTGGGCCTAATGGGAAACAAATACTATAGTTTCTCAAATATATTCATATAACCTAACTGAACTGACCAACTATTATACTCACCATCTTTTCCAGTGTAAATTTTTCATTCTGAATGGTCTCTAGATTCACCCTGCCAAACAAAAATTAAATCATCAAGATAACAGCAATTTAAAGAATGATTTAAAAGGATGAATTTTAATTGCACGACCCAAAATGGCAACATAAATCCTAAAAGTCAAGTGTATTCAATCGTTTTTTGTGGGTAAAGTAGTAAAGATTAGCAAGGAATGTTTTAGGTGCAGCGACACTACGCAACACTTAAAATGCAGCAACATTACGAAACACTTAAAAGTTAAAAGGAAGAAAAAAATGTAAGCAGTGTGGTGCGCTGAAACACGCATCACACTGTTCCCTTCTGTAGGCAGCACCAGCACTTGTAATTTTTTGTTTGATGGACATATGAAATGCGACAGATAAGAAATAAGGGGAACAGCTACTTACTACTACCAAGAATAACTTACCACATCTCCTCGCAAGCATTGAGAAGTTCAGACATTTTTTGGTTAGAGCTTTCTTCTTCCTCTTTTAGAGCTGAAACTTGTCCATTAAGTTCTACATTTTCTTCCTTTAAAGTTATATTCTCAGCTCTAGAAAAGAGAAAATATTTTACGGCCTAGAATAAAAATGATGCACCTTCTATCTTGAAAGTTTTGTTGATGCCAAGGATACCTGCCCTGCACCTTTCATTGTCAAATGTCAGAACTCGCCACATTATGATGCAATGACACCATACAGTACGGCCAAAGTTTGTGGATACCTGATCTGTGCAGCCAATAATTCATCTCTGAAGTTGTTAATCAGGGAAGACAGTAAATGCAGTTATATTACTGCTGGCCATACATGTTCAGATTTTGTTCAATTACTCCATCCATGCAAAACAGTGCAGATGGAAAAAACAGCTGTCAGAATACGCAAACAGTGCCTACATCCGATTGGATGTTCAACCATCAATTTTCCCACCCAGCTCCTTCAAGGGTGTGAAGCTGAGTGGTGCCAAATCGGGTCACCCACTGGCTGAAATTCAACTAGTTCGTTAGAAATCAGCCAAAATTTGCTCAGTGTATGACTAGCTTTATTCTACCTCTAATAGGTAATCTATACATTTCTGAATTTGATAACTACATTTTAGAAACTAAAACTTGAAGTCACATCAAAAGTTACTTTTGACCTTACCAAAGAAATTTCGAGTACATTATGTGCCAAGAGTTTGTGGACACCTGACCTGCCAACAGTGGACCCCCCACCAAATTTTGAGTTCAGGTATCCCCAGGGAAGGGTGTTGTTAATACTACTGCATTCAAAGACACTGGGGAAGGCCCTTGTTTGTTTCAATATGATTGTGTCCCCGTGTACAAATCCATCTCCATAAAAGACATGGTTTTGATGAGTTTTGGTGGAATGACCTGCACAAAGCCCTGACCTCCAGCATATCGGACATCTTTTGGAACACCGATTGTGAGCAAGGTCTTTCCATCCAAAATCATTATATTTGCTCACAAAGGTTCTTTTGGCTGAATGGGCACAAATATTCCAAAATCTTGTGGAAACCCGTCCCAGAAGACTGAAAGCTGGTACAGCCACAATGTTCGACATCCAGCAAACTCTGAGATGGAAAGGTCAGGTATCCGCAAACATTTATATCAGGTAAAATGTCATCTCCTGTCTATTGGTGCCTTCAAAATTTAGTAACAAAGCCCAAAAAATCATGTTACATCTATACTCCTAAAGCCTAGTTTATATTTTGGAAGGACTACCTTCGTCTTCTACCATTATTGACATAGCCAAGCCCAGATTTTCATAACTGTAGGCATACAACGTTTCCCCCCTTAGAATAACATCATAACATGTAAGTGGCCATATATAAAAGATGGCTGTTCTTCCTGATAATGGGAAAATATGTACCAATAGGCATGCAGGGAAAATTTACCTCTTTGCCTATAGCCATGTGTTTATTATTCCCAAAATTAAATTAGGCCCTGGACATAGCATATTTGACAGTAGCCCATGTCTCCATAAAATATGCTATTCAGTTCTGCTTGCAGCATCTTTTATAGCACTTGCTTGTTGAGTGGTTGCATGTGTAAAATGTTTTTAAAGCGTTACTAAACCCATAACAGAAAAATCATTCTGTATATGCAGTAAAGCATTCTTGTTATACTCACTGTGGAACCTAAGTTCCATGTAGAGATTAATCCTCCACATTGTGTAAAAAAGCGGTTTGATCCTGACTTCTCTGATCCTCCCCTTCTTTCAGTGCCCCCCTCTTATTGCCTGAACTCGTGAACATGCTCAGTTTGTTGTGTATTGCTAAAGAGTTTTTTTTATTTTCTCGGGATAGAGCATGTGATCAGCACAGGGACAATCAGCACTATCCAGACAGAGGGCAGGAGTTCTGCATCCTCCAAGAGCAAAATGAAACCGCCTCCTACAAGCTTTAACCAGTGCTCTGCTGGACATTGATAGAAGTCACAAGACTGCTCCAACTGCTTATGAGAAAAGGTAATTTAGCAGTTTATATTTACTAAAATAATTGCATTTCCATGTTCTGTGTACTGTGAGAGACCAGATATAGTCCTGGGCTTGGTAACACTTTAAAACCCATTACACAGCAACTGCATTGCATAAAAAAAACAGATGAAAAAAAATAATAGTTTGCATATTTATCAATAAAATAAGTAAATCGCAATAGCATAATTACAAAGCAGAATTTATTAGTAAGCTTGCCATAGGATTCAACAGACAAGAAGAGAAAGCCAAACACCATTTCTACAGCATTAGTGGGCAGCACGGCGCTTAATACAATTCATTTCATTTTTGAAGTGATAGTTTTAGGGAAGGCCGCCACATATGGTGGTTTTCTGGCATCAAATTGTGATGTGACAGACTGAATCTGTTGCTTTGGCCATTCATGGATAAGAGATCACCAGAATTTTGGCCGATTCCTTGGACAAAGTAGTCACACATAGTATCTATTTTTGTGGCTGAACCAATACTCCGGGGAACAGAAATGTATATACGTACAATTATTAATTTTAATCAAAAATTCCAGCTCAAAAAGTCCAGCTCCAATCAAATGTATTTTTAAATATTTGGATAGATTGAGAAAAATAAAATACTTTAAGTTTTAAATTGCTATCTGTGAACGCCTGTTGGAGAGATTTCACCTAATTTTCTTTCCACAACAGGATATTTCTTGAGAGGAGTGATTGGCACTTTGACAGAAGACAGACCATATTAATAACCTGAAAGAGGTTGTTACCTTAACCACTTGCCCTCCAGAGGATTTACCCCCTTCCTGAGCAGGCCATTTTTTTGCGGTACGGAGCTGCGTTACTTTAACTGACAATTGCACAGTCATGCAACGCTGCACCAAAATTAAATGTATGTCCTTTTTCCCCCCCCCCCCACAAATAGAGCTTTCTTTCCGTGGTATTTGATCGCCTCTACTTTTTTTTATTTTTTGCGCTATAAAAAAAAAAAAAAAAAAAAAAAAAGACCAACAATTTTGAGAAAAAAAATAAATTGACTTTTTGCTATTAAACATGTCCAGTAAAAAAAAATTAAAAATCAAATTTCATTATAAATTTAGGCCAAAATGTATTCTGCTACATGCCTTTGCTAAACAAAAAAAAAATCCCAATACATGTAAATTAATTGGTTTACATGAACGTTCTAGCATCTACAAATGGTGGTATATATACTGGAATTTTTGTATATACTAGTAAAGGTGGCGATCAACAACTTATAGTGGAACTGCAGCGGGCATTCTGACACGGGGGGGGGGGGGGGGGGGGGGGGGGGGGAGACTGACAGTCACTGACATCCCCAGTGACATTAATCAGTGCTAATAAAAAGCACTGACACTGTACAAAATGAAACTGGGCGGGAAGGGGTTAACTTCTGGGGCGATCAAAGGGTTAACTGTGTGCTTTACCGTGTAAGCACATTTCTTTGTATGGCTCTGCTATGCAGAGCCATACAAAGCAATGTGCTGGAGCTGACAGGGGAGAGATATGTATTGTTTACATACAGGTCTCTCCCCCATCGGTGATACACGGCAATCGCCAGGTGCCGGGTGGGGAATCACCCGCCGGGACCCGGTGATCAACATGGGAGGCCACCAATGGTGGTGCGGGTAGGGCTCGCCTGTGCGAAAATGCTAAATTATGTATATATACACGTGATTTTGAGCACCCCTGCCACCCTGTAGCAGTATTTCTGCTATAGGGCGGCGGGAAAGCAGTTAATACCCTACCTCCTTTTACTGAAGTGTCTTGTTTCCATTGGCGGTATATTCCATCACTCCCTGTCCCAGCAGGAAATGAGGGGAACCTCCCCACTGGGAACACAGACTGCAAATAGAGTCTCCTTCCTCAAAGTGGCTGGATTATATGTAAAAAAAAAAAAAAAAAATATGCTGTTCCACAGAAAAGGGCCAATCAATTTTAGCTTGACATTTGTCAGGAATGTTGTTTTTCTGAAAAATCCTCCGGCAAACAAATGCTGTACTAAAAAACTGCCAGTTTCTTCAGACTGCTTTCTTATGTCTTTGGTTCACCTTCCCTTCAATTTTCCACAAACAGATAGTGACTAAACGGCAGCCTGTTGTCAATGACCGCGCCTCTAAAACAGTCTTTCAGAAAGTATGTGTTAATGTGAAAATAGCTTGTCTTTTCCAAAGGAATACTGCCCATGTTATTTAACAAACGTGATTGGTTGTGGTTGGCACCACTTCCAGTCTTTTTTTTTTTTTTAATTTTAGGATTGTGTTTTCAGGTCATAAAAAAACCTGTAATACATTTATAATAGCTTTGCTGCCCACCAGTGCTGTACAGCTTGCAAAGAACAAAACAAAGAACAAAAATTAGTTGCAATTGGAGGCAGAGAAAAAAAAATAAAGAATATAAAAACTAGTATGTTACAAGAATCATTACAAGACAAAGAAAGAAGCAATAGACAATCTCCTTTAAGATGAAGCCTCTGAAAGCAGTATATTAGGACAACCAAACCTACTAGATGTTAAATTGTCATGATCCCATTCATTTGTTATAAATGTTAGTTTTAGGCATCCCTAGATGTTGAGAAAGCAGCGGTGAAAAAGGAAAGTTCTTGGTGAAGTTGATGCCAGCAGAAGGTAAAAACACTGATATTACCTCAAATGTTCCATCATCTTTTGATCGTCATTCATCTTGCTGTCCACAGTAGATATCTCATTTCTCTCAGTCTTCACCTTCAGACTCCTATGGCGTGAACTTGATTCTTCTAGATCTCTTTCAAGATGAACATCTTCTCCAGTTGTCTCCAGACTGATAGTCTTTTGTGAACGGCTTCCCAACTTCTCTACATCTTCTCCTTTCTTCATTTGTATAACCAATCCTATAGACTCTTCTGGATGTTTATCATACTCCACCCCATTTTCCCAAATACGGACATTGTCTAGCATTTCTTTTTGAGGCAAAGGTTTTGAGAACTTATTATCTTGTTGGGAATGTTCTTGATATTTGAGGTTTTGCTCCCCCTTTTCAGCCTGTGAGTCTGCTTGTATCCCCTTATTCCTTAAATGTGACTTAATAATTGGCCTCCTTTCAAACATACATATTTTCTCCTGCATAATATGAACTAGGGACTTCAGTTCTTCATTCTCCTTCTTTGTTGCATTATATAGATTCTCAAGTTTCAAGGAAGCTTCTGTTATCTCCTCTATGTTTTGAATCTCTTTCTGCAGCCAAGAAACTTCTGACGACAGAGTTCTGTTGTTTTCTATGGCTGCTAAGTTTCTAAGCTCCATGGCCTTCAAGTTTTCTTGAAGGTGTATATTTTCTTTCTTGACAACAGCTAGCAACAGTTTTAAAAACCAGGGATGGAAATCGGGACATCATCTAGTTCTGGCAATGCAATTTCCACTAAGCTAATGGCCTTTTTTACTTGGTCATATTCTAAAGTTAAATTATTTAGCTTATCTTGGAATGATACCACCTGTGTTTTCAGATGGTCATTCTCTGTCTGCACATCCCTATAGCCTTTTTCAAGCTGACATAACACTTTTGTAGTATCTTCAAGTTCTTTAGTTTTCTTTTGAAGTTTCATATTAATGTTGTCTAAGGTTTTCTTGTATTCGCTAAAAGCAACATCAGTCAATTTAAACTCTACATTTCTCTCAGGCTGTAGGTTTGCAGTCTGGTCATCATCCATTTTTGTCTTATCCAGTTGATCTGTAATCTTTCCTTCCTCTGTTTTGCTCTCTGTTAAATCAAGCTTCTTCTGAAGCTTGGAAACTTCAGTTAACAATCTAACGTTTTCTTTAACAGTTTGCTCATGAGCAGTTTGAAGGTTCCTGAAAACTCCTTCTTCATCAACAATTATCGATGCGTTTTGAAACTCTGAAACTGCATGCTTTAGCTCATCATTTTCTTTTTGTAGCAACTGATGTTCATCTTGAATTTTCAAGAAATATGCACCTTTGTCTTCCAGTTCCTTGATTGCACCTTTAAGCCTTGATATTTCTTCTTTCCCCATCTCTGCCTCACTACAGAGGATTTTGTAAAGCTCTTCAGACTGTAACTGTTTTGACTTAAAACATTCTCTCTCAACAGTACGGTCTTGCTCTACAGTTTGCAAGGTCTCACGTAGAAGCTGAACACTTTTCTCTGCCTGGAAGACTTGCTCAGTTTTCTCCTGTAAATCGTGCAGCAGTTGCTCTGAAGCTGGCTTATCTTCCTCCATCACTTTACCAGTCTCAAGTTTCCTAAGTTTTGAGATCTCGGATAATAACTTGACATTCTCTTGGACTGTCTTCTCGTGCACTTTCTGTAGAATCTTAAGAGCACTTATTTCCTCTTCTTCAACCAGGTTTCCTTGTATTTGAGATACTTCCTCTTTTTTCAACTCTTCAGTTTCTTTGATCACCAGCATATAATCTTGCCATGGTTTAGAGATAGAACTAGTCTCGTTTTGAAGTTGATCAATTGTGCTTTGAAGCCTATCTATTTCTAAAAGCATTTCTTGTCTTTTTGCATTTGTACTTTCATACAGTTCATTATAATGTTCCTCTGATTTTGAAAGTGTGGCTTGAAGAATCTGCTTATCAGCTGTATGGTCTTTTTTCATATTTTCTATTGTTGTTTCTAGAGACTGAATATGTTTCTTGGCATGGCACAGTTGTTCACTGCCATCTTTCAATTTAGTTTCTAAAGACTTTAAAACTTGTTTTCCATCTTCTGCCATTTCAGCCTCTTGAACTTTGTCAGTCTCCTTTTTGGACAAGTTCAGCTTCTTCTTAAGTCTACTGATCTCGGACTGCAACACAATATTTTCTTTTACCATCTGCTCATGCACGTTTTGCAGGTTTCTGTAAGCATGCCTTTCCTCATCAAGAGTAGCAGACGAATTCTGAAGCTGTGACACAGCATTTTTTAATTCTGAATTTTCTTTTTCCATAAACTTGAATTTTGTCTGAATCTTGGATAAAGAGGCAGGCTCTTCCTTTAATTCATTGATGGTATTTTGAAGCCTAGTTATTTCTTCCATCATCTCCGATCTCTTTTCTTCTGTCCTCTTACATACTTCCTTATAAAGTCCTTCTGCCGTTGACAATTTGGAATACAGCTCATCTTTTTCAAGTTCGGTTTGCTTCTCGAGTTTTTCTAGTGTCTCTTGAAGATCTTGAAAATCTTTCTTGGCTTGACAGAACTGCTCATCTTTGTCTAATAATTTCATTTCCAGGGACTTCACAGCTTGTGTAAATTCTACTTTGCTCTTCGGGTCACCTTTTTCTCTTGCTTGTGTTATGTCCTTTTCAGCCAAATACAACTTCCTCTGAAGGTCTGAAAGCTTGGACAGTAGTTCATCTCTCTCTTTAATAGTCTGCACTTGAACATTGTGTATTTTTTCAAGACTAAGATTTTTGTCCTCTAGGAGAACCAAATTATTCTGGAGCTGTGAAACTTCATTTTTTATTTCTGAATTCTCCTTCCTCAACAACTCAAATTCTCCCTGAATTATTGAAAGAGATGTAATCTCTGCCTTTAAATCACTGATGGTATTTTGAAGCCTACCAATTTCTTCAATCAATTCTAATTGCTTCTTTTTTTCCTTCTCACCAAGTTCTTTATGGAGTGCTTCTGACATTGCTAGTCTAGAGATAAGTTTTTCTTTTTCAGATTTATGTTGACTTTCCAGTTCTGCAATTATATTTTGAAGACAAAGAACTTCTTTTTCTCGGCCTGACACATTTGTTCATCTCTTTCGGTTAATTCCTCATGAAGGTCACTTTCCAGCTGAAGGACTTTCTTGGTAAGAACATCTTCTACTTGTTTTGATCTGACCCTCAGGCTATCCAGCTCTCCAACCATTTGTTCCTTTTCAGAATTTAGATTGTTGACCAGTTCTTTGTAGGATTTTTCCAAGGTATCTTTTTCTTGTGAAAGCTCAGAACAAGTTAGCTGCTCCTGTTCAAGTTTTTCCATTAATCTCTCTTGTGTCTCTATATGCTCTTGAAGGAGTTCTTCCTTTTCAAATGCTGCCTGGGCCCTCTCTTCTGCTTGTTGGTCAAGAAGATCTTGAAGATCATTTTGGAACTGTCTTTTAAGACTCGTAGAGTCTTCTTTGTATTTTGTTTCTGCTAATTCTACATCCTGTGCAAACTGAGATTTTATTTCCAAAATTCTTCTGTTAAATTCGGTTTCCATTTCTTTCCTAAATGTGGCCAATACAGAAGATGGTAAAAAAAAAAAAAAAAAAAAAAAACGAATACCAGTACAAGCTTTCCCCCTAGTTTTGGGTTGAGTGGGAAAGGGTTACAGACTTTTATTGCCCTCGGTATCCCAGTTGGAAAGATCGACCTAAAAAAATGTTTGCAGTGACTACTGCTCCCAATAAACACTGTGGGGGAAATGTGAAATTCTACAGTTGTCGTCAGCACAGGATTAGAAGGGTCACCTTCCAATGGGGACACCAGCTTCAATAAAAACGTTCAAAAATCGAGACTACATGTCACTGTCTGTCATGCAAGAGGTAATTTCCTCGATAGAGGACATAAAAAAACTGACAGAAGTTTTATCCCTTTCCCCAAGTATCCAAAACCAGGAAAAAAAAAAGTTCTGGTTGGAGTTCTGCTTTAAGTATGTTGCCGTTTCAAACTGTATGAAAATAGCAGATTAGATGCATCACAAATCAAATCAAGAAATTAGATTTGAACCACTGGATCATCAGATTTTTCACTCCAAATCATTTATGCAAAGCAAAGAGATTATGCAAAAGAGATATGTAATCAAATCAAACAATTGTTTCCTATTTTACAGCCAACCTTCTAATCATTTAGGTTCACCATTTAAAACTACTGTCATACATTGGATACACAAACCTTTGGGAGGGTTAAGTCAACAAAAAAATGGCATATTATATCTTTGCCAATGGAAAGCATACAATGGGGAGATTTACTAAAGCTGGTGCACTCAGAATCTGGTGCAGTTGTGCATGGTACCCAATTAGCTTTTAACTTCAGCTTGTTCAATTAAGCTTTGGAAAAATTCTGGAAGCTGAATGGTTTCTATCCAGAGCTGCACCAATGTCTGCACTCTCCAACGTTAGTAAATAAGCCCCTATGTCTGTATTATAACGGATGATTCTTAAGCCACATGCACACGGATGTGTTGTAGGGAAGCTGCAGGTGGGGCTTAGGTCTGTCATAGAAGAGAATGAGCTGCCGTTGGGATGTAAGCCTGCCATAGACGTGAATGCCTGTACACTCCTGTACTTGTACAAACACCAATGCTTCTTTGCATCTGTGTTTACTTGCAATGTATTTCCTGAAAGCAGAAGTGTTTGTTCAGAAAAATAAGTCCTGTGCAGGTAAATGCAATGGTGCGACAGTGCTGTTCTCTATATCACAGAGAACCACCCCACCATAAAAAAAAAAAAAAAAAGGGGGGGGGGGGTAAAGAGGAACCTGAGGCATCAGGACTGGCAAGTAGACTTTGTAAAAAGGAGCTTCTTAGAAAACAAAATTGTATGTATGATAAAATATTGCTTTGGAAGGGGGGGGGGGGGTGTGTGTGAAAGAGGTAAGAATCTGGATCTTGGTATTGGGCTTTAAAACAAAAGTCTAAAAATATGTGGCTTTGATGGTAGGACAAACACTTAATACAATCTGAAAAGCCCTTGAGAGACATTAAAGCACTTACAAGCCATATACTGATCCAGAAAACAAAGAACCAATCTTACTGTCACTCACCTTTGCACCTCAGCTTCTTGCTGGTGTTGCTCCAACAGCTGCCTTCTTAGTTCCTGTGTTTCCAGCTGATGGCTTTCCTGAAAACTTGACATTTCCTCCTGAAAACTTTGCTCCAATTGATCTCTCTTGTCTTCATAGGTTGTCATCAACTCGGCCAGCTGAGCTTCTGCCCTCTTTTCACTGTCCTCTGCTCTCTGGGCCAGCTCCTCCTTCTCCTTATGATACACCTGTCGGGCGTCTTCTAATTGCCGATGAAAGGTTTCTTCTTTCTCCATCAAGTGCTGCTTTTGGAAGTTACACTCCTCCTCCATTCTGCTAACCTGATCCTGGTGCATAAATTCTGCCTCCTTTTGCTCTTCTTTAAGTCTCTGAATGACCGCTTCCAGCTCTAAGTGCTTCATTTTGAAGATCTTGATTTGCTCCTCAGCTTTGTGAACCTCATTGTCCAGTTTCACCTTTAGGGCTTCCTGCTCTCTCTCAAATGAAAGGTTTATTTCTTTGAGTTTTTCCTCATAGTGCATGGTCTGGAAGAAAAATTGTTGATTAAAAAAAAAACCTTGACAGAAAGTCATCTATTTCATTGTAAGATAGTAATGTTGCATTACTGAGACCAGTATTCCCTTTACAATCATAAACAGTTTGGACTTCTGTAACCAAACTGTTGCCGGGTGTTCACTGTCAAAAGGATGTTTTTAATCAAGTTCAAATTTAATTAGTACTTAAAGGAGATCTGATCTGCTATCCTCCCTTATCAGGTGGTGATCTGTTTTGTAGGTTTTCGATACCCACCCACTCAGAGGATCCACCGTTTTCCCACTAAGATCTTCTTGTCCTCAGCCACTTCTTGGTCCCAAGCTGCCATATTGGTGATTACATCCCCAAGAGGCCCTCTGGCTCTCCTGGTTCAGCTTACACGCCTCCTTATGCTGTGGCGCTAGGCACGCCCTCCCCCCCCCCCCTCTGCAAATCATTCAACCATTTTATCTAATTGTTCTTTAGCTTCCTACCGAACTGCTATCCCATCCAAAAATAGCACATACTTTGTTTTCCAGTTCCAGTGTCAATTTCTCGACTTCCCTCTGGTGTTGCTCCCGCATATGCTCAATGGCCATTTCTGCCTCTATACTCATGTTTAAAGGAGGGCAGTCTTCAGAACCAATACCTGCAACAAAGAAATGCACATTACAAATCCAACCTATTGCAATATGTCTTGTATAGTCATTGTGAAGCAACTTGGTTGTGGGTCTCTTCATTTTTGCAGTACAACGAGAGTCCATCACCTCTGGATGTATGCAGAATTTAAATATTCAGATTAAAATTATAATCAGGAAGACTAATGCATGAATTTATTTGCCCACTCATCACTTTATCGGAATCTGACTCTTTAGTTTGGGTTAGGGATCAGTGGTCATCTAGAGTAACATTTGCTACCCTGCAAAATACCTGAGCTCAGACATTTCCCAGCTTGAGCATGTAGCGTGAAGTCTGGCAATGTAAGTAATTAATAGAAACGGGTTTTATAAAATAGTGTTTTTATTGCCACTTTCAAGGGCCAGGACAGAAGCAGGGGATCTAACTTTGGCAAGAAATAACTTTTTTTTTTTTTTAAGGTCAATATAGATCAGGAGTGTCCGGCCTACTGACCTTCCTGGGCTACACTGGAAGAGGAATGGTCTTGGGCCGCACATAAAATGTACTAACAACAAGGATAGCTGCTGAGCAGAACAAAGTCGGGCAGATCAAGTTAAAGATCACTTATGTACATATTGTACCTGAGTAATAAATCTGTTTTTATTTGTAATTTTTTTTATTGTAAAAGAGGGAACATAAACTGGTGCGATATATGACACGGGTTTTGATAAACTGACGTATCAATATCTGGTTCAATGGATGGAGGAGCAATTCTGAAGGTGCTCATCAGATATTTTGGTTCTAATGTTGCCCTTTGTGTGTTTCATCCGTGAAAATAGTTGTTCATAGGTGCTGCTGAAAACTAATGGCATGATTAAGGGCTGATTGTGAAGAGTGGGAGATTTTTCTTTGGGAAGATAAAACATAGAAGTCCAGTGAAGAGATGCTGTCAATTCTCTTCGGCCATAAGTGTAAACGCATTTAATTAAAAGAATTCAACATTTTTAAGTAAGTTTACAATTTTGTATTGAGCTGCATTCAGGGTTGTTTTAGGCAACATGCGGCCTGCACACCACTGCTAAAGATGATCAGCCCCACTTTCAATTCTGTCCACTAGAGGGACCTCCTTCCGCTGTGCTTATAGTAAGCCAACATGTTGAAATAAAGGACTGTTACAATTATTTCAATTCATCTATTATGTGTCCAAAAATGTGTAAATTTATACCCTCAGTAATAAAAGCAGCTTCATTTTTATTTCTAGGAAACAGAACTAGAAACACTTAGTGAATATTAGCTACTCATCTTTTTTAGTTAGGATTGTGAGAACAAAAAACTTTTGCTTCTTGTGAACATTTTTAATAATTTGCTAAACTGTATATTTGTATTTTTATGTATCTGTTTTCTTTTTCACTTTAAAAGTACAGTATATGTAAACCTGAGAACAAAAATGTAATAGTGCAACTTAACAGTCCTTCAACGTGGTGGCTGCAATTTTTTTTTTCCACACTTATTTTTACCTGGTGATTCTACCAGCACCATACTTCCTGTCCTAGGGTGACAACGCTCACTCGCTGTACTGTACTTAAAGCGGAGCTCCAATCAAAAGGGGAAATTCCGCTTTAAGGACTGCTCCCCCGCTCACCATTAAGGATTGGCACCTGCGAAGGGGGGGGTATCCAAATTTGACAGGTACCCGCTCCCACTTCCGGTACGATCGCCTAGACTATCAGAAGTGGAAGGTGCCCTCCCTCCCTCTCGTCTTTTGGGACACGTGACGGGTCCCAGAAGACTACAGGACCATTCATGAAGCGCAGCGCTGCGTGCGCATGTTCAGTGGGTACCCGGCTGTGAAGCCGCAAGCTCGCACAGCCGGGTGCCCACACTTAAGATGCCGGCCTCCTGGAATACAGGACGGCCAGTGAAACGGGCTGCAGGGGACACACCAAGGGACAGGTAAGTGGCTGTTTTTTAAAAGTCAGCAGCTACAGTTTCTGTAGCTGCTGACTTTTATTTTTTGACAGGGTGAGCGGAACTCCGCCTTAAGGAATAGAAAACGGTCACCCAAGGATAAGACTACAGAACATCTCTCTCTCTCCTCAGTAGCATAGAGGGAGGTGTTTTGCAGTCCACAGAGATAACTGGAAACAATGTAACTGATGATAAAAGTGCAGCCTAGGCAGAGAGATCAGAAAGCAATCAGCTTGCAAAATTTCTGGCAGGATCAATGGGTATTTTTTTTGTACTGATTAGGCAGATACTACAAAATGCTTCCAATTTAACAGACCAAAATGGAGGAAATGGAAAAGTTCATTATTAGGGTTTACAAATTTTAAACACTATTTCCCAGTTACTAGAATGCTGTTACTGTTAAGGCCGTAATGCTGGGGTTTCTCCTTGAAAATATATCTGCCAATAAACATATCTGATTGTCCTCCACAGGGAGTTTTGTATTCTTGGTTCGCTTATATATCATGTTGAGCATGCTCAGAGTACCAAAGCTATCAACTCTCAGCTTCATAAGATGTCATATTGGGTTAGTCCAGGATTCGCAACAAAGCTGACTCAACATAAAAGCGCTTGTTAGCAGAGAACCATATATTTGCCTCCCAGCCATTTATATTTGGTGAACGGATCTGAATTTATTATTCTGCAGCATAATACTTAGCTAACAATACTTACAAGCTGCCCTCCAGCTGTCAGTTTTTTTATCCTTGCTTGTTTGTTTAGTGCAAATGCTAGAATAAGCAAATCTAGGATGAAAAATATTAGAAATCTCCTCAATTTTTCTTTGTAATATATTGATAAAATAACAGTTTATCTCCAACCATCAGAAAATATCTCCTTGCAGTATTGATTAATTCTATTTTTGATTTCCTTATCTTTTTCTTATTTTGCATGCCACAGTGTATAGCAGGTTGCAGTTTTGCTCCTATCTGACCATCAATAAAAAGGTTTCCCGCCCATTTTCATGGTTTCTAAGTTGTAGCTTCCTCCTAAAGTGACAACTACACTGGGCAGTTATCTTTTATTTCCACAAGCACTAAGGTGTAATCTATTTATCCCAGCTATCCACCTATCCTCCTAGCAATCAAGTATATTTCTGAGGAAGCCATGTAGAGAGACGAAACATGTAGGGACATTTAACTGTGCACTGACACCACTCTGGCCAATGTGTTGGTCTAATTTCCTCTCTCATTCTTTGAAAGAGCTGGAATTTAGTGTCAAATTATTTTCTATTGGTTACAAACAGCGAAGTGGTGGAAGCCCTTTTCTGTAGTGTAGATATTCTCAGGCAGACAGTGTGCCCATTAATGGCTGTGAACAAAGCCTTCATCAAATGGCCCTGGTTCACAGACCGTTTACAGAGTGGCTCTGTACCATGTGATCATTGTGATTACCAATCACAGTGATCACAAATGTAAACATTTTAAAAAGCCCACCCCTTCCTCTTACATCAGGGGAAGGGGAGGAAGGAGGAACTAATGAATGAATGCATATCCAAAGGTTGTGGGATAGATGGTAAAGTGTTTTAAAGCTTTAAAAAATGTTTAATTAAAATAAACATGCTATACTTACCTGCCCTGTGCAATGGTTTTGACCCTCTTCTTCTGCAGTCTCCTGCTGGCGCTCCTGGCTCCTACCTCTGCAGAGTGCCCAGTATAGGAAACCACTTCCTATGGAGGCACTCGAGCGTGCTTGATCATGAGACGGGCTGTGTACGTCTATTCAGGCACACAGACTGGCTAGATCCCGCAACCCTCCTAACCCCACCGCTCACACATTTTGATTGACAGCAGCAGGAGCCAATGACTCCAGCTGCTCTCAGCCAAGCCTGTGAGAGCGCGGAGATGGAAAAAGAGTTGCTGAAGACATGCACAGAACTGGATAAAGATCAGGCTCAGGTAAGTATTTAGGGGGGGGGGGGGGGGTGCAGCAGAGGAGCTACTATTAAGTTGTGAAGTTTTTTTTTTTTTTTACCTTAACGCAGAGCATACATTAAAGTAAAAAACTTTTTACCTCTACAGACACTTTAATTCTCCCCCAGCCCCACTCCCTTAGTTTATATCAGCCCTGTCCTGACTCTGCAGGGACCTGTACAAAACTCTCCCTAGATGTACACTCCTTGAGGGTTAGGGACTGATGTGAATATATATATATATATATATATATATATATATATATATATATATACACATATACATATACATATATGGCACTATACAAGTACCTGTAATAAATAAATAAACCCCTTCACCTCCTGATAGTGCACATCTGTAGGTTTAAAAAAAAAAAAAAATTGGGGGGAAAAAGCAAAAAACAAAATAAAAACTTTGTTGTTACTAAATACCAAAATAAGAATCTGTATTGGTCTAAAAATGTATTTAAAATTAATTTAGGCACAGTGTGGCATGACCGTAATTGTCAAACTATTTCAGCACTGAAAATTGGACTGGTAATGGAGTATTATAAATAAAATGGTTAATAGAATCACTACAAAAGCCTCTAGTTTCAATAAACTATTAAAGTAAAAATTTTAAAAAAATCAGTGAGGTATTAGTGCATCATGCATTAGCCCTGTCAGCTGCATATTTGCGAGATGGCATACTGAAAAATAACAAAAGTGTAAAACTGGAGTATTAAAGATAAACTGCAGGCAAATACCTACAGTACATATACAGTACATAGCTGAAACACACGTGTAAAGTTTTGAAGGATTTAGCTCTGCTTCGCCTGCCTCCTTTTTGGAAAATGAAGAAGCAAGTAGCACACTGAAGAGTCATTGCTCTCCTTTCCACTCACATCAGCATGTTCTGGGCACTGATCAATGTCCTGTGACCTGTAGTTCATCCTTTATGGACCATAATGAGCTAAAATTTCTTCAGCCTGCACATGTTTTATTATTACCTTGGTCACATTCAACCGAGTTTTTGTTATCCATTTCATCAAATAAGGAATTCTTCAGGGAGGACCGAAAACCGCGGACACCTTGCGAACGGTATTCTTCCAGTTCCAGCTGCAGCTCATCAATACGATCCTGCAGCTCCTGAGCGGGTGGAAGCAGGATACATCATTTTAGAATAAATTGCAGTAGATTTGTCAGCAAAATGCGCAGGTGAAATCTCATTATTTATGTGCCAACTCACCCTGCGCTGCCTCTCGTACTCATTGCGCAACTGCAACAACTTTTCCTCATGGCGGAAAAACTCAACGTAGCTCGGGTCCAAGTCTCCAAACTGGCAGACAAAGAAAACCATAGTTTGTATAAGGAAGGAACTGGCAGCACTCCACTGTGCAGGAGACTCACATGGACATTTCCATGACAATCTTTGACAATTCATTATTGCATTTAGAAAACAAAAAAAGCTTGAAAACATTACATTAAATAAAATGTAAACCCAAACTAATTATATTTAGTTTGCTAAACTACTTTTTGCCATTTTTGTTAACCTTTTTCATTTTTTTGTTACATCTCTGTACTGCGGATTTCCTACAGCATCTTTGCAACCAATTCTTGTCTATATGCGCTCCAGCAATAGTTGCATGGCATTTCTCAGGGCAGGTTTCAGGATGAGAACGGACCTTGTCTGGGTAATGCCTTGAAATGGACACTTGAAATTTCTGTTGAAAGCCTGTGTGACAGGTTGACAACACAAAAGTACCATTGGAAGACAGGGACAGAGCATTGTCACCCAATAACATAAGAACTTCCATGGTGAGATCACCAAAAGACTAATTTTAGTAATAATGATAATTAATTTTCAAACTACATTAAGATTGTAAAGCTCATATGGAGATCTTATTGTCTGCGTTCACATAGGATTTCAATGCAGTTCTGTGGCACATCTGCTCAGGGCAGAATGGAAGTACCTGCAGAGTCGGCCCTTCACTCATGTGATTTTTTTTTAAACAAAATAAGTGGACTGCCAAAGTAAATTTTATTATATATCTGTCTAACCACGGATTAGTAGCATCGTTGGCAATTGCCCCATTACGGTCTTTCAAAAAATAATGTGTAGCATCGGGTTTTCAATATTTATCTATGTAGAAATGCAGATCTATTTACATACATCCCAAACCAGCAAGTCACTAACCAACCCGATGGGATTTTATCCTCATACATTTATCAATTATAATGGGTTTCCATCAAGTGATGCAGAAATACCTTTAGCAAAAGGCTGTAGGTAGACATCTTGCTGCCCTAGGTACAACTGAATAATCAAACCTTTTTGTACAAAAGATCCTAATCATTCCACACTCCATCCCAAAAAAAAAACAAAAAAAAAAAAAAAAACTATATACCCTGTGTTGCCAGCATCTAGGAGAGTCAGATCGCTGCTCACATACAATGCAACACCCGGCACTCCAGCGTGCGAACACTGCTCCAAACAGCACTGTTCAGGTAGCAAGAGTGCTGTTGATTGGAGCAGTGTGCAGGGATGGGGGTGGGGGGGGGGTCATGTCAGACTGCTACATTATGTAGTAGAGCAGTGATTTAACTCATATGTGCTGCCAACACAGAACAGGATCATCTAACCCTCAACGCAGCACTTAGCCAAAAAAAAGATGTCATACTTATTTCTTTATTGCTGCATATACAGTCATACTGCATCACAGTAATAAATCAAGAGGGTTCAAATGGGCATATACAAAAACAGCCAAGTAGGTACGGGGGACAACCCAAAGCAATTTTTTTTTCTGAATCTGGGAAAACCTTAAAAAAAAGTCTTAGGTGTGATTTGCTAGATCTGCCTTTACAGAATGCCTTGTGATTTAGCATTCTAAAGGCAGCAATGCTCTTTCCTTAAACCTTTTTTACATTATATAGTGTTCTTGACCTTTTCTCTCAGTATGTTGTCCAGACTCCTCTGCAGCTTGGCTGTCAGGGCTTCACACTCCACCAGCTTCTCTGTGGTCTCAAGTAACTCATTCTCCATACGGGTGTTTTCCTAGACAAATAGAAAAAAATCCAGCTTGTGACAAGCATCACTATATTGGCAATACAGCTTTCAGGATCCCAACCAAACCTATATTTCTGCTCTGCCTAAAGCACAAGAGCTATAGTACCAATTATGACAAACAGGCCAGAGGGTCTTCCATTCATCCTGGGTCTCTTGGATAACCGCTTGATGGAAGAAAACAGCCAGAGGTGCTGTCTGAATCAATCGACACAAAGCCTAGCTTTAACTTATCACATTTTTTCCCAGAAAAAATAGAAACAGACAACAAACCTTTTTACCCCACAGAAACTCTTCTACACCTACCTTTATAGACAAGGTCAGCCGGTCTCGCAGGTAATTCTCTTCCACTTTGACCTTCTCCAATTCCTGTTCTAGGTCTAACCGCTGCCGATTTGCTTGCTGAAAAATCTGCTCTCTCTCCTTCCTCAGCTCACTTTTTAGAGCAGCTGTTCTCTCCTTGTACTCCTCATCCAGTTTTCTGACAAAAGATAAGATGAGGCACAATGGATTGTAGATCTATACCCAAGTCGTGGACAGTGCATTGCCTTCAGAGAACATGGCTGACCCCCCCCCCCCCTCCCCCCGCCTTCTTTAAAAAAAAGCTTTGACACTTGGTTAACCAGTAAGCCTTCCAGTGTTAAAAGGACTTTTGTTCAAATTCACAGTTATTCAATTTTTAGCCAAGACTGACCCAATGGGGGATCAAGAAGCTTGGTTCCCTGATTTTTGGACTAAGCAACAGCTGCTGCTGCCATCCTTGGTTTAATGTGATGCCATTATTGGCCACTATAGCCCTCCAGTTGCCAATACAGATCCAAAAACCACAATCCTACTACAAACAGTCTTCAAATCTCAGGAACGTCTGGAGGACCCACACATACAAATGACTAGAATGTCACTACAAAAACCTACATAAGGTTGTGTTCATTCCGTCGCTCAATAGCTGCATGATGGTCATCCACTTCCAAAGCCATGAGATTCTTCTGTTTCTCATTCTTCTCCAAATCCAGGCGGAGCTTTTCTTTCTCTCTGGCAGTCTGATCAACCCTCTCCCTGGAAAATATGGAACAAAGTGACAACTAAATTGCCAAAGTTCTTATTCTCCCTGTGGGGAAAATTTATCACTGCCAAGGACTCTTTCAAAGACTGTAATAGTTTCCACAACCGGCCATGAAGTATACCTATCACATAACTGACTACATAAATTTTCAAAATAGTCAGCTAATCCAGAGACAACCAGCAGCTTAAAATAAAGGGCAAGCTTGGCTCTCCCCCACCACCTCCCGGTGGTCAGTGAGGATGCCAATTATACAGAAACGAACCTTAACCGTGAAAAAACTTCTCTAAACCACCTCATACAGAGGACGCCTCCATGTGCCTGCATGAAATGGCAGTTCTAGCATTCATGGTCATTGCCCCTCACCCTCATACTTTCAGATCCATATGTTTAACGCTTCCCTAGTTGAGAGCATGAACCTGCTACCTTCTGTCCAGACTAAGCCTTGTTACTGGCTGGTGAGGCTTTCCATCACAGTGATGGCTCAAGAATGAGGCCCAAAAGGTAGAGGAAGCACCACCAAGTGCTGCACCAGTAAAGTCAGCTGATGGACTTTCCATTTAATTGTGCAATGGCATCACACAAGCTTTGTTTTAAATTGTACATAAAAACCAAAACAAAAATGTAATATATTGTAGACTACCAGTACTTGGAGGCATTACTGTTTTTATGGCTTTTTATTAGTTTCCTTCACCTGGTACTCCTGCCTGTCCTTGAGTGATAATCCTCCCTGTACTGTATCTATGGAGGACCAGCATGGTCACCTTTGCCTATTCTCTTGGTTTGGACTAAAAATGCCTCCCTTCATCCATTGCATAGGGAGGAGGGGTTCACAGATGATAGCTTGGAAAGCTAAGATAATTGTTTGAGATTTCAGTTCAATGCACAGTAGTTACAAGGATACTATATTTCTGTCAGGATCAACAGATATTTTCCTGAACCTGCACAAAATGTAATTAGCTTTTTTGGCTTTAAAGACCAACAGGGAGGCTTCAAAAGGTGCTAGACTGCTCTCTTTCAGGAAAAACTGAGATGTGCATTTAAATTTTAGATGCCTGTATCTATGACATTTTGACTTCAGTTAAAAGGAGAAGTATGGCCAAAGCTTTTCTGGCCCTACTTGTCCTATGGATCCCAGGAGTGCAGTTCATTCTGCACTCTGTGACCCTGCTGTTGGTTGATGTCTCTCAGGCTCTAGAAAGATCCAGACTTTAAAAGTTGGGATCCACCCAGAAGCCTGGACTGGCAGCTGGCTCAGTCTCTCAACAAGCTGGTGGGAGAGTGAGCCAGCCACTTCTGCCCCCTCCACAGCCCAGAACTCCAGTGAGCGCTGAAGGAGAGGAACAGTCTGACAGTCACCGCTCTCTTCTCACTGAAGACTGAGCGACCAGCGATTGTTGATCACTCAATTCTCAGTCTTATACTCACCTAAGAGAATGCAGCCTCGTCCAATGCTGTACCTGTCCCCCGCTGCTTCTAATTTTTTTTTTTTTAATTTAAACCCCATACTTCTCTTTTAACCACCAAAGGTAACCTTTTCAGATACCTTCAACATATGCCCATTTTTATAATTTCATGAAAAAGAAAAAAAGTCTTGGTGAACCTTAAAGTTTCAGGGCCTGATAAAATTACTGCAACCACTGTGGAAATATCAGACCATTGATATGCTCTCCTTTTCCAGCCCACTTCACCAAGGTCTGGGCACTGCTGACCAATTTTATTTAAGCAGCCAGTGCAGGCATTGCCAAAATGACTGAAATATTAAAATTTCAGCGACTGTGGAAAACATGGCAGATGTTAATACAGAATGCTGCAATAATCACCTTCAGTCCTCTCACAGTATATTTCCTCTACTTGATACCCTCACTCATGTACCCAGTAACAATCAACCCACATTGTACAAGAACTTCAAGAGGTGAATATCAGGTCAAATTCAGGTATTTACAACACTTGCATTTAAAAAAATAGTTAATGGTTTATTATTTACAGAACAATATTCATTTGTGTCTTTTAGATCTGTCTAGAATTTAGCTTTAACCCCTTAACACTGCCTCTTGGCAGTCTTTTTAGCAGGTTTTAACACCTGGGAGACAGCGTGGACCTGTATAAAGTGCAGCAGTTGGGTGTTAAAATACACCATTCTTGCCACTGTATATGCAGTATGTGCTACATGGTTGGCAGAGGTTAAATACATAACAACACAAAGTTCTGGACAAAAGCAGAGAACTTCCTCATCGTGACCATTGAGATTCTTGGCATCTTCTAAAGAAACTTCCTATTCTCCAACTAATATAAACAGGCCACAAAGCGAAAGTAATGAACTTACAGTAAGTTTCTGATCTCTGAGCGGAAGCTGACGAGGGCTGCTTGGTAGATCTCATTTTTGGTTATCAGAAGCTCATTTTCCAGTGTCATGGTCAGCTCTGCAAGATTGATTTTACCTTCTAAACTGAAATCCAGAGCCTGAAAATTAAAGAGATGACAAAAAGGACATGTGATTTGTCCACAGGAGAAGATTTTTTTCAATTTTGTATTATTTTTACACTGTGGGGGTCTTCTTAAATGAAGAACACAACATAAAAAGAGAGCCCACCTTGCATGTCCAATACAGGACCTGTGATAGGGAAAATGAGGATTAAATAAAACGTTTATACAAGACAGTACAATGAACAAAGTAAACAAGTGCAACAACTTATTGCAACCAATGTTTCATGTTACTACAGAAACAATTGAGTACTGTCCGTGATACTTTTTTTATTTGCACTAACATACAATTTTGAGGACAAGCTTTCGGGGTATGTCCCCTTCTTCAAAGTCCAAACAGTACTATTACAAATCACAAAGTTTAAGCAGAATGTTAGAAGGGATTGAGAAAAAACAAAAGGCTACAGATAAGATACATCAAGAGCGAGGGGGGGATACTACACTCACACAGAGGGGGTCAAGCTTCAGCTGATAGTCATAAAGCTGTCGGATAATGGTTGAGGAATCCCATGTCCAAGTTAAGGCCGTTATCTTTTGTGTCAAATAGAATTATCATTCTTAGTTCAAATGTTTTTCTTTCCTGGATAGATTTGAATTTTCCTTTCAGAACCAAATTCAAAAATCTATCCAGGAAAGAAAAACATTTGAACTAAGAATGATAATTCTATTTGACACAAAAGATAACGGCCTTAACTTGGACATGGGATTCCTCAACCATTATCCGACAGCTTTATGACTATCAGCTGAAGCTTGACCCCCTCTGTGTGAGTGTAGTATCCCCCCTCCCCCCCCTCGCTCTTGATGTATCTCATCTGTAGCCTTTTTTTTTTTTCTCAATCCCGTCTAACATTCTGCTTAAACTTTGTGATTTGTAATAGTACTGTTTGGACTTTGAAGAAGGGGACATACCCCGAAAGCTTGTCCTCAAAATTGTATGTTAGTGCAAATAAAAAAAGTATCACGGACAGTACTCAATTGTTTCTGTCGCAAATGCACTAATACGGCTACAATCACCGCATGTTACTACAGAGAAATCAATAATTGATTCACACCATCTTCTAGCAGGCCTTTAAGTGGACATTGCCCAGGAGGCAGCATTGCTTCTCTATCATGTGTCTGCTGCGCTTGTTTCTTAGAGTGGCCACATGATCAGGAGCTCATCCCACTCCCACTGGCCCTTGATTAGAAGCACCACCAAATCAGATGTCAATGGCCACTCATTCAGCATGTTCTCCGCAACCCAATCTCAAGCCACTGTGGACACATATTCGTGACAGGCATTAAAGGTCCACCCTATCTGCCACCGTGTATATGCGTTATATGAGTTAAACCAAGGACCGGGGAATTTCCTGTTAAATGTGTCACCTACTGATACCGCACACCGGAAGAGGGCAGAGTTTGCCAGCAAAGGCAGGTGGTTGCTATGTATTCCTAATTCTTCTATGGGTAGCTGCAGACAATTCATGTGGAGTCTTACCATTAGCCATAAACCGGACCAACCCCAGAAACATACCCTTCCACCATTTGCCTGTGTGCTCTGGGGCCATTGTGAATGCAACGGTTGTTGCACTGTATTTTAATAAATCATAAATGTGGGTATGATAGATTGGCATGACCTTTCTACAATTTTACAAATTATTTATTTGGGCTGCTATCAGTAACTGAATTTTGCACATTGCTCTCATACTGAAGAAGCCTACAATTTACACTCAAGAGTAAGAATTTACCCACTGGGCATAACACATGACAAAAGCAATGGTTTAAAGCACCAACCTTAAGGATGGCCTGGCTGTTGTCAAGTCCTTCTTCATGCCACATGTCTATGATGTCTTCCACGCAGCCATAACCCGTACCATCATCAAACTTGGAGAATAGTCGAAGGCCAATTGTCCCAGACATGGCAGAAGGGGTAAGTGTCCGCCTTCCACTTTCATCATATGGCTAGAATAAAAGAAATAACAGGTATTCAAATTATAAACTCGGAAGTACCAAGAGCTTATAGCTCTGCCAAAAGTTTAAAGTAGTGCTGGGGTTTCCTGTAGCCTGTCCAATGTGAAACTGAGCAGTTCCATTTAGAAACGTATGAAGCATACTCAAATCTGGAGCTGAAGGTCGCTTAAAAAAAAAAAAAAAAAAAAAAAAAGAACGACAACAAAACTGCCTGAAGCTTGCAGAAAGCTTTGCAAATGCTTTGTTGAGCTTATAGTACACCCTGCTTTTGTACAAGCTGAAGTTTATTTGAACAAGGCCCAAATGTGCCTTGTGTCTAAATCTCCCTTACCTCTACATCCCAATCCACGCTCAGTTCGCACTCCAGAGACTACTGACAGGCGGTGAGGAAGTGATGCGATACCTCCTCACCACTGCGCATGGTTGTAGAGCTTTTGCGGTGCTTCCCCCGTTGATTTGAATGTCTAGCATTCGGCAGGGGCGCCATGTACTGACCTCTACACGTTTGCTCACATTTGCCGTAGGCGCACGGCATCGCGGCTGCACCATGTAAGCATACCATCTGTTGCCTATTGCATCTTAAGAAGGGACGGTTCGTGAGCAGAAAAAAAGACGCATATCAACCACGCATTTTGGCTGCCCTCCAACCGCAAGTCTAAACTGGCCTTAGTAGGATTCTGGGGAGGCAGTCAGTAATTATAATTTAAGATTAAAGCCCAAGTTTAGAAAAAAATTGCTTTTAAAAAAAAAAACTGCACAAGGGATTTTACTTGTCTCTAACAAAGTGTCCGCAGTACTGGTGGGGGCTTAAATAGTAGAAATATGAAGTCCTCTAGCCACTCTCCCATACTCCACAGCCATAATCTTCCGATGCAGGGGTTAATACCAATGCAGGACCTGTGACAGGTACTCATCAAGACTGCCATCTATGCCCACCTCCTTTATTCATAAACGCTATACTATAACTTCCTCCGATGAAAAGCGCACTATGAATGGAAGCGGTGGACCTTTCACTCATCTGTCCTTCCTCCATTCATAGACTGGTTTTCATGGATGAAAGCTATATTATAGCTTTTATAAATGGAGAGGGGAGGAGAAATGGGTGGACTGTGGGCATTCTTTTTTCCACAGATCCAGGGATAATATTAACCTGTAGCACCGCTATAATATTACAGGCTGTGGGGTATGAAAGGGAGGCAGAGGACCACATTTCCACTATTACAGACAACACCAGCAAAAGGGACACTTCTGGTTAAATGTTAGTAACATCCTTTGTGCTGGTTTTTGAAAAACCAATGATTTCCTAAAATTGGGCTTAAAAATGTCTCAAAGCCCACACTCTCCCCGGCTAGTCTGGGGATGTAATGGCGTTCGGTATTGGCGCTCTTGGACCCCTGCTCTTTGCCCCTCCTTTTTTCTTTTTTTTTTTCACTCTCTTTTTCTTCCCCGCTTTCTTCTTTTTTCATTCTCTGTTTTGGTGTGACTGGACTGCTGCATTTAGTTGTTATAGTCAGTTACAGTAATGTTTTGTAACTTATGTGCCATTGATAGCCTCTGCGTGGGCGTACCTTTTGCCCTGTTGGCATTAGAGCACCGTTTTTCCTTTTTTTATTTTGCATTTTTTTATCTGTGCAATTGATAGCCCCTGCGTGGCCTCTATTGCCTCTCTTTTACACTGTTTAAAAATTAATAAAAACCATTGAAATAGAAAAATGTCTCAACGTACTACAGTACTTGTTTTTTTGCAGAATTATTTAAAAGCAGACAAACTCAAAAAAATAAATTGCTATCCTATGGCACACAAAGAAAAAAAAAAAGCTTGGTTCTTCGGTTCCCCCTATAAAATAGTGCACTTTTCATGTCGAGGCACTCCTGTACATTTGCAGTTTGGTATAATGCTGTAGGTCAGTCAAGGCCAGAACAAGGGGTGGGCAGGAGGGACAGCTGCCCTGGGTGCAGTGGTGGGATGAGTCGCTCCCTCACTACCCACTTCAGATCAGTGGCTGGCAACTGAAAGCTTTTCTGCTCTGATAGCTACAGCTGTCACATTCTGCTCAATTAAAAGGATAAATTCACTTTTACACAAAAAATAATAAATGCACTTTTTTTGCAAGTAAAAAAATGCATTTATTATTTATGTTGGGAGCCTCTAAAGCATTACACCAGCGATCAGCAGATCGCTGATGCCATCTAGGTCTCCTGCAGACTTGTCAATGTATCTGCTCGCTTGTACATCCCGTACGAGCAAGCTGATACATCTGACAGGAAGAATCAACGAACTACCACAACGCTCACAGCACCGTGGTAGTTCATTGAAGACTACAAGCTGACAGCCACTAAGGCTGTTGGGACTTGTAGTTCATTCATTCACAGAGGTCTGTGAATGAATGACGCAGCCCCATGTGGGCAGAGCCGCGTTGTTTTTGCAAAGTGACAGCTAGTATGGGGAACTTCTCCCTGTACTTCTGTCATAGGGAAGGGGGCAGCGGCTGCAGGATAGGGAACATGTTACATGTTCCACCCTAAAAACGGATGAAACATGTTCCCAAAAGTGAACTTGGCCAGTAAGTCCACTTATCTCACCCCATCCACCCACAGCGGACATAAAAAAACATGCACAACTACCTTCTAGCTGTTGGAAGGCAAATGATTGGCCACGCATGTGCGGTGCGCAATACATGCCAAACATGTACAGCCAGAAGGAGACATGAATGGGCGTAGGGTGGTACACCCATTCTACATCATGCATTAGCAGCGGTGAGAAGAAGGGGTGGGGGGTTTGATGGGGTGCAGTTCTGAATCCCTACCCTGGGCACTAAATGACCCTGTCCCAGTACTGAGGTCAGCAATGGGAAAAGATCAGCTGCAAGGAGCGTACAGATTAACTGGTGAATAATTTTTGCATTTGGCTAGACCTTCTGGACATAGCATCCACAGTTCAGGTCTTCCAATATGTGAGAATTGCCAAAAAATGTATTTTACTGACCCCATATGTTTGCAGCATCTCCAATATTTAGTATTTGTTAATTTTTTCTGATGTACAGATTAGAGTTTTTTGGAGCCTTAGGACTAGTTCACACCAGTGAGCCACTCGGTAATGCTGGGGGACACACTCCTGGTGCACGGATCATGGTGCATCTCGCGGTTTACTTTTTCCCCCCAAAAAAACCTTTCTTGAAATGTCACTAATCTGAAAAGAGGACTGAATGGAGTACGTTTCAGCACAGAAACATAGGAAACAATGCATATTGCCTGGTCTATGTGTTGGGGCTGCACTTGAAATGGCTATCAGTGCTGGGACAAGGTCATTTAGAGCTCCTCCCCATAATGTATGAGCATTATGTATCCGCAAAAATCTCCCACCCCCCCAAAAAAAAAAAATACACTATAGGGGGGCTATGGGATTGTGGCATCAGGGCCCTGCACTAGACAGCACAACCCGCCCGCTCCTCCTCTCCAGATCACATCATACCACGAGCAAGTCAGCTGTCAATCCCACCCACCCCTTGTCCTGGACTTGCCCAAGGTATCAGAAGTGATCGTGCCTAAAAAGGCTAAATTTTACCTGTAGGGATAAGTGCCTCTTCAACTGTCGATAAGGAGTGGAGGAAGACGGAGTTGGTGGTTTGGTATTCTTACACACTTCATAGAAAAAATCCTGAAGGCTCATGGTTTCATCATGGTCAACATTCTGCAATGCATCTTCCAGGGCCTGCAATATACAAGAAGCTAACTTAGACATGCAACGTAAAACCCCATTCAACTTTCATCAAGTTATTTTAACAGCTACCTATAGGGGGCAGTACAAAGCAGCAAAAAGATTCAAAGAATTCAAAGTTTCAAGAATTCAAAGGTGATTGAAAAGCCGTTTGCAGAGTTCTCAAAAGAATTTAATTCAAAGAATGGAGAGAGGATTTACTCCAAAAAAAAAAAAAAAAACATTTCAAAGCACCCAGTACCATCTAAGCAGACCGCTTTCATTCTCTGCCCTTCGGTAATATATTAGCTATCAGAAAGCAAAGACGAACTTGCTCAAATCCGTTAGCAAAGCCGAACTTGCTCAAATCAGTTTCATTGCAAACAGACAACACTATAAAAAAAAAAAAAAAAACAGCCTGGGGGTCAGAAAGAAGCTTCTATGCAAGACTTTCATTCTCTACCTCTCTGTAATAGATTAGTTATCAGAAAGCGAAGCTGAACGTGCTCGAACGCACTAGCAGAGCCCAACGTGCTCGAACGCACTAGCAGAGCCCAACGTGCTCGAACGCACTAGCAGAGCCCAACGTGCTCGAACGCACTAGCAGAGCCCAACGTGCTCGAACGCACTAGCAGAGCCCAACGTGCACGAACGCACTAGCAGAGCCCAACGTGCTCGAACGCACTAGCAGAGCCCAACGTGCTCGAACGCACTAGCAGAGCCCAACGTGCTCGAACGCACTAGCAGAGCCCAACGTGCTCGAACGCACTAGCAGAGCCCAACGTGCTCGAACGCACTAGCAGAGCCCAACGTGCACGAACGCACTAGCAGAGCCCAACGTGCTCGAACGCACTAGCAGAGCCCAACGTGCTCGAACGCACTAGCAGAGCCCAACGTGCTCAAATCAGTTTCATTGCAAACAGACACCACTAAAAAACAGCCTGGGGGTCAAAAAGAAGTTTCTATGGAAGACTTTCATTCTCTACCTCTCTGTAATAGATTAGTTATCAGAAAGCGAGGCTGAACATGCTTGAATGCACTAGCAGAGCCCAAAGTGCTCGAATGCACTAGCCGAACGTGATCGAATCTGTTAGCACGGCCGAGTGTGCTCAAATCCGTTAGCACAGCCGAATGTGCTCGAATCCATTTCATTGCAAAACGGACACCACTAAAAAAACAGCCTGGGGGTCCAAAAGAAGCTTCTATGCAAGACTTTCATTCTCTGCCTTTCTATAATAGATCAGAAAACGAAGCCGAACGTGCTTGAATCTGTTAGCAGAGCCGAACGTGCTTGAATCCGTTTCAATGCAAACAGACGCCACTAAAAAACAGCCTAGGGGTCAAAAAGAACCTTCTGTGCAAGACTTCTTATTCTAGTTTGTGATGGACACTTCAAACTACTCCATGTTATCAAATGGGAGGAATCTGACACGTCGGGAGAAGTTCTGAACAGAAACCATTAAAGTATATCTGATCCCAAAAACAAAAATTTTTATAAAATCCTTAGACATTGTGATTAGATTAGTTTTTATTTTTTTCCTGGTAAGAACGTTTTCAGCAAGTACACAAAACACCTGATGATCTTGCCAGAAATACAGAATCCTTGCTGCCTTGTTTGGTTTAAAAAGAAAAAAACAAACAGACATTATTTTGTTAGTCTTGCTTGTGCAATGTACTAATCCACTAATCCCATCAATCCACCATGCACTAGAGATGAACAAAGGTAGACATGTTTGAAATCCAGCCTGTGTTGACAACCATGGCTACTTCCACACAATAGAGAAGTCAGTGTAGACATGAAGTGACAGAAGTGCAGGATCACCTGGTGAAAACACCAGAAGAAAAAGCCTGAAAGAAAGAAAAAGAAATGCAGCCACCATGTCCAAAGATTGGTACACAGCAACATATTACTTTTTTTTTTTCCTTTTTGGGCATAAATGCATTATAAAAGAATATATATATTAACTCGTACCCTTGTGGACTAACTACGAAAAATTGCATTCTGCAAGCTTAAACATTTGGCTTCTAGATGTGCTAAAAAGAAAAAGCAAAACAGGTATTGGATTGCCACTAGATTGAGAAGAGTGTAGGACAAGTATTCGGGAGGTAAGACCAAACTGGTTGCTGTAGCCAATGAAAAATTTGGGAGCCCCCATTCACCAGCCAAACATCTCTAATATATGCCTCATATTACAGACCACGCGGTCACACTGCTAAGACCAGCGTCATCGCTCATGCTCCCATGACTTGAAGAGGAAATGCAACTTTCAAATGTTTGTCCAAGGAGGAACTGAAGACAACCACAGTATTGTTACTGAAATTTGGAAGAAAAAGTTGTTTCATGATGAATACTAATAGTCTTTAGAAACGTCACTTCCTGCAGAGGACTTGGAAAAATAAAACCAAGAATGACGTAGATCATCAGAAGGTGAAATCTTTAGGTTCATAGGAGGATGTATCAGTGCTCCAATAGTGTGATTGGTCCACAGAAAGCAGGAGAAAGAGGTTCTCTCTGTTGTAACCTGTACAACCTGAACTCTAGACAAACCTACATACACTAACCAGCCACTTTATTAGGTACACCTTGCTAGTGCCAAGAAAATATCCCCCACACCATCATCAGTCTGAACCGTTGATACAAGGCAGGATGGATCCATACTTTCATGTTGTTTATACCAAACTACCATCTACCTAGCATCTGAATGTCGCAGATGGTCTTCCCATTGTCCTCGGACAACAAGGCATTTTCATCCACATAACTGCCACTCACTGGATATTTTCTCTTTTTCAGACCATTCTCTGTAAACCCTAGAGATGGTTGTGTATGAAAATCCCAGTAGATCAGCAGTTTTTGAAATACTCAGACCAGCCCGTCTGGTACCAACAACCACGCCATGTTCCAAGTCACTTAAACCCCCTTTCTTCCCCAATCTGATGCTCAGTTTGAACTTCAGCAAGTCGTCTTCACTACATCTACATGCCTAAAGGCATTGAGTTGCTGCCATGTGATTGGCTGATTAGCAATTTATGTTACCAAGCAATTGAACAGGTGGACCTAATAGAGGCCGGTGAGTGTATATGGGACTGTTTTACCTGTCAAATGGTAAGAACCAGGGGCGGACTGACAACTCATGGGGCCCTTGGGCAATAGGGGATCATGGGGCCCCTGTGTCCTTGCCCAAACTCAAAAAAGCCTATGAAAAAGGTACCGGGGAATCTCATGGGGCCCCCTACTGACCCCGGGCCCTCGGGCAGTGCCCGAGTTTCCAAATGGTCAGTCCGCCCGGGTAAGAACTTTTTTCCAACTAGTTCAGAGACTTACACAGCCCTGCCACACAACACAGCTCTATCCAATACCAGAGGCCTGATTTCCATTTGTTGCAGTTTAGTAACAGCAAGAGGTCTTGTCCCTCTCCCAGCCAGAGACTGGACCGTAAGGTCTCTTCCACACAATCAGTCTGAGTGGGTCTGCTTTCAGTTTTTCAGGTGGACCCGATCGGACCTTCCATTCAGCTCTATGGAGTGGTGGGTGTCAACAGACTTGCATCCATTTACACCTACCTATCTCCAATGTGATCCAATTAAAGAAAAAAAAAATGGAAGGGGATCAGTTCCCTTCCATCAAGGCTGAATGGATTAGAGGGCAATCAGGTTTAAATAGACAGACAAGGACCTGTCATCTGCCTGCTCTGCTCAGCAGGGATCAGCAGAGAGATCCCCCACTGAGCATGCAAGTTGCACCCAGTTTGAAAAGGGCCTAAAGGAGAAGCAACAGACTGATGAGCTTGTCTCCCTTTGACTCTTCTCTACTCAAAATGCTCCTTACAATGTAGCATAATTGATTGGCTCTTTGTGCTGCTTCTCCCTCTCCCAGCCTGAGTTCTGCTGTAATGGGACTGCAAATGGCTGATGCAATTTTCAAACCCGGATATGTAAAGTGGAACTTTAGTCAGAAAATTAAGTCCTGCTAGATCACTTCAGGCTGGCCCCCATTTGCAGATATAGCTATGTAAAACATTAAAAATACGTGCCTATACTGTTAAAATCCAGTAATACACTGTCTCACCTTGCTCTGCACATGCTCAGTTGCTTTCTATTTTTAGGCACTATGCTGAAAATGTAGAGGCCCATCTTCTGACAGCCTAAAGATTTACTGCTGCTCAGGGCTTCAGCAAATTGGCAGCCTCTGGCAAGAAGAAACAGGAGCAATCCTGGAAGCAATTTACAGTGCACACTAGTTTTGGTAGCATAATTATTAATGTGGAATGTCTATTCCTTGCTAAAGAGCATTTTTTTAAACCACTGCATACAATGGATATAAAAAGTCTACACACCCGTTAAAATGTCAGGTTTCTGTGATGTAAAAAAATGGGACAAAGATAAATCATTTCAGAACTTTTTGCACCTTTAATGTAACCTATAAAATGTATAACTCAGTTGAACAAACTGAAATCTTTTAGGTGGAGAAAAGTAAAAATAAAACAAAATATATATGGTTGCATAAGTGTGCACACCCTTAAACTAATACTTTGTTGAAGCCCCTTTTGATGTGATTCCAGCACTCACTCTTTTTGGGGAGGAGTCTATCAGCATGGCACATCTTGACTTGGCAATATTTGCCCGCTCTTCCTTGCAAAAACACTCCAAATCTGTCAGATTGCGAGGGCATCTCCTGTGCACAGTCCTCTTCAGAGCACCCCACAGATTTTCAATCAGATTCAGGTCTGGGATCTGGCTGGGCCATTCCAAAACTCATCTTCTTCTGGTGAAGCCATTTCTTTGTTGATTTGGATGTGCGCTTTGGGTCGTTGTCATGCTGAAAGATGAAGTTCCTCTTCATGTTCAGCTTTTTAGCAGAAGCTGGAAGTTTGTTCCAATATTGACTGGTATTTGGAACTGTTCATAATTCCCTCTACCTTGACTAAGGCCCCAGTTCCAGCTAAAGAAAAACAGCCCCAAAGCATGATGCTACCACCACCATGCTTCACAATGGGTATGGTGTTCTTTTGGTGATGTGCAGTGTTGTTTTTGAGCCAAACATATCTTTTGGCATTATGGCCAAAAAGTTCAACCTTGGTTTCATCAGACCAGAACACATTTTCCCACATGCTTTTGGGAGACTTCAGATGTGTTTTTGCAAATTTAGCTGGGTGTTTTTCTTCGTAAGAAAAGGCTTCTGTCTTGCAACTCTACCCCATAGCCCAGACATAGGAAGGATACGGGAGATTGCTGTCACATGTACCACACACTAGTACTTTCCAGATATTCCTGCAGCTCCGTTAATGTTGCTGTAGGCCTCTTGGCAGCCTCCCAGACCAGTTTTATTCTCGTCTCTATCAATTTTGGAGGGACGTCCAGTTCTTGGTAATGTCACTATTGCGCCATATTTTCTCCACTTGATGATGACTGTCTTCGCTGTGTTCCATGGTATATCTAATGCCTTGGAAATTCTTTTATACCCTGCTCCTGATTGACACATTTTAACAGTGAGATCCCTCTGATGCTTTGGAAGCTCTCCAAGGACCATGGCTTTTGCTGTAGGATGCAACTAAGAAAATTTCAGAAAAGACCTACTAGAACAGCTGAACTTTATTTGGGGTTATTCAGAGGCACTTTAAATGATAGCAGATGTGTACTGACTCCTATTTAACATGATTTTGAATGTGATTGCTTAATTCTGAACACAGCTACATCCCCAGTTATAAGAGGGTGTGCACACTTATGCAACCACATTATTTTAGTTTTTTTAGGTTTACTTTCCCTCTTAAAAGATTTCAGTTTGTTTTTCAATTAAGTTGTACACTTTATAGGTCACATTAAAGGCGGAAAAAGTTCTGAAATTATTTATCTTTAATTTTTTACATCACAGAAACCTAACATTTTAACAGGGGTGTGTAGACTTTTTATATCCACTGTATATAAAAAGATACATTTAATGATGTATTCAGGAATACAGAATTGCAATAATTTGTGGCTTAGATTTTCCTGGAGTTCCCTATAAAGGAACATGTAGGCCTTTGTCACTAAACACCTAGTTGTGTCTCTGGCTTCAATAATTTAAATCATGAACTGGAACATGCTACAGCAATTGAAGTCAGAACACCTCATTTGCATACTTGTGTTTCGGGTCACAGATTTCCAGTGTTAGTTGCTGGACTATTGTCACTCCTTCAGCATCAATGTTTTCCTAAAGATGTGAACAAAGGCAGCCTATGTACCGCTATCCCATTTACACTGGCATCACCAGCTGAACAGCTGCACTACTGCCTTAGATGGCTTCATAAAAGAGGGCAGCCATACTACCATACTGTTCAAAGCCTATAGCCCTATACCATCATCCCACCTTATGTCAACTATTTGAACTACCAGTGATCATCAACAAAATGGTAAGGACCACCCAGAACGTTTTCCATAAGCCCAAGCTTTTCCTTTCAGACATGCAGCAGGCAGGTTTGCAGCTTCACTGCCCCTGAAATTAGTATTCAATCCACTGACAATGGCTTCCATATGTGGCTTCTCAAGAATGTATTTCCAATACTGATATAATCTCTGAATGCTAGCCAAACAGATAGCCATTTAGTTTCAGATAAGAACTAAAACCTGTCCATCAAGTTTTGTCCACCACAACCTTTCCCCACAACTGAAACAAGACAGCCTAGTGGAAAATCTTTACATTAGTACAGTGGTCTCCAAACTGTGGCCCTTTGCATTATCTGGCCCTTGGGGCACTGTTCCTCACTGATACAGGGCACTATTCCTCCCACTGACACCAACAATAGGGCACTATTCCTTCCACTGACACCAACAAATAGGGCACTATTCCTTCCACTGACACCAACAATGAGGCACTATGTCTTCCACTGACACCAACAATGGGGTATTATTCCTTCCACTACCAATGATAGGGCACTATTCCTCCCACTGACGCCAATGACAGGGTACTATTCCATCCCCCCGATACCAATGATGAGGTACTATTCAACTGGCACAAACGATAGTGTACTATTCCTCCCACTACCAGTGATGGGGCATTATTCCTCCCAACTGACACCAATGATGGGGCACTATTTCTTCCACTACCAATGATGGGGAACTATTCCTTCCACTACCAATGATGGGGTACTATTCCTCCCACTACCAATGATGGGGAACTATTCCTTCCACTACCAATGATGGGGAACTATTCCTTCCACTACCAATGATGGGGAACTATTCCTCCCACTACCAATGATGGGGAACTATTCCTCCCACTACCAATGATGGGGAACTATTCCTCCCACTAACAATGATGGGGTACTACTACTCCAACTGACACCAACGATTGGGCATTATTCCTCCCATTGACACCAAAGTCTGGCCCCCCTAAAGTCTGAAGGACAGTAAGCCCCCCCAAAATAGTAGATGAGCAATTTTAGCAATTGTTTTTAAAAGTTACTTATACCCAAGTTTATCACAAGCTAAATGGCACCGGAGTTGGCCCACATAGTAGGCCCTGTCAACATTACCAAAGTGGTCATTGGGGTACTTGGTTGCCAAACTTGCTCAGGCCCATTGTATTCCCAAGCATCCAAGTATACAGATGCAGGTGAGCACACTTGCCATTTTTGTGGTACAGATTCAGTTCTGTTTGCCACAGTCTGACATACACCAACCAAAACATACGGACATCAATAGTCTGCTTACCTCTTTGTCCAGATTTTGAAATCCATACTGTTCACAGATAGACAGAAGCTTCTTCCTGTGCAGGTGCCCATCTCTAGTAATGCCTAGATCCTCACAGATCAACTGAAGCTTCTCTTCCACCCAGTCCTGGTCAGGAGACAGTGTGGTCTGGGAAGCATTGAGGTCATCTGGGTTCCAAAACCGTAACTGGCCTGATAAGTAAAAACACTACAATCACAAAAAGGTCTAAAAATAAATTGGCATATAACAGAAACAAAACTAGTAACTTCACTAATCTTGCGTAAAAAGTACCAGCTGTGTTCCATATTTTTAAAAAGATTTAAAAAATTAACTTCCTTGTCCAGATTTCTCGAAAAGACACTCTAGATCTTGACTTTTAAAGTGTCAGGATTTAGCAGGATATCCTTTATTCCTTGTACAAATTCTCTTTTTAAATGGATTATAAATCTACATTTGTATTTATTTTAATCATAAACATGTTATACTTACCTGCTTTGTGCAATGTTATTGCACAGAGCAGCCCCGATCCCCCTATTCTCGGGTCCTCCGTGGGTGCTCCCAGCTCAACCCCTCTGCCGTGTGTCCCCATAGCAGGTCGTATGCTATGATGGCACTCGTGCGGGCTCGCTCCCAAGATACATTCTATATGTCCCTTGACAAACATAGCGGCTTAGCCCCCCCTTCTTCTCCTCACTGGCTGTGACTGACAGCAGCAGGAGCCAGTGGCTCCCACTGTTGTATCTGAGCCTAAGAGGAGAGAGAGAGCGGAGAGAGATGATGAACTCATGCACAGTGCTGGATTGACATTGGGCTTAGGTAAGTATAAGGGGGAGGACTGGGGGACAGAGCAGAACACAGGTTTTTTACTACCTTACTGCATAGAATGCATTTAGGTAAAGAAAAAAAAAAAACCTTCTAGCTTTACAACCACTTTAAGGAAGCAATCACAAACAGGCAATGATAAAGTAGCCCAAGGAGGCATACTTTACAATATTTTTAGATTTTGAATATCTATAAATACCCAGGATCAGAGTCAAAGACTAAACTGAAGAGTGGATTGAGGGACTGATGCGGTTAGTTTTATATAGTCTACAAAGGCACTTTATAATGTCAGTACTAAAACAAAAAATGTAGGCAATTTGCTTACTTTTACTTATTTAGATCGTAATATATGACCACCATGTAATTATTTATGGTATGGGTGTCCATGCCAATGGGGGTGAAAAAAAAAAAAATGTTCCCATACAGAAAATTCATGTAAACCACTAAGAAAATTGCTTAGAAACACAGTATAATGGACAGGATAATCACTTTTGAAACAATTTTCAATGTAAAACTGTTAAAATAAAGGTCTACAGGGACTTCATTTCTTTATGCAATGCAGCTTAAAAGCATGGTATCATACCTAAAAAACAAAGAACTAGATTTGACAAATTGAAGCCTAACAGGACATGCTGATTTAATTTGCTGCTGCATTACTTTAAAATGAGACTGCAATTTTCCTCAACGCAAGCTGAGTTGGGGTGATGTTTGCACCCATGACGTCTCCAACTTATTGGATCATTTGTCATCAGATTAATACAGGGTGTCAGAGCTGGTGAGATTATCATGAACTCCCTGTGAATGGTTTTGGTTTTAATATATAGAACATCATGAGAGAGGACTATAAACATCGATTCTGACTTTTCAGTTTATCAAACTGAACCAAGATCAGACCAATTAGATAGCTTTATGCACTCAGTTTCTGGAGTTACTATACAACGGTGAAATTAATTATTTGATCCCCTGCAGATTTTGTACATTTTACCACTTAAAAAGAAAAGAAGGGTCTATAATTTTTATCATTGTTGTATTTTAAATGATAGAGACATTGCAAAGCTATTGTATTCTGCCAGCTGGGAGCCCTCCCTGCTGGCAGAACACAATGATCACTGCTAGCAGCTTTAGCCACCAGCAGCAATCACAAACAAAAAAATCCAACAGGCTGGTTGTACTGTAGTCAATCGATGGAGGGTCCCAGCTGAATCAGCCAAGATGCGATCCATCTATGGCTGGCTTTACTATGCAATTCCTTTTAGCACATTTCTTGAGAGCACATGAACACTCCAGCACATCTGATTGGCTCCTTCTGCTGCTTGACACTCTCCCAGTCTGGGCTTCACTGCATAAGGGTTCCTAAGAGGCTGATACCAGCTCAATTTCAAGTATTTACACTGCTTACATTAAAAAAAATAAACAAAAAACAACAAAATAAAAAAATAAAGCTGGACTCCGGGATAAGCAAATATTGCCTAAATACAAGAGATGTGTATTCTTAAAAGTGATACTAAAGTCTTTTTTTTTTTTTAAATGAACATATCATACTTACCTGCTCTGCGCTGTTTTGCACAGAGCAGCCCAGTTCCTCTTCTTTTCAGGTTCCCCGCCAGCACTCCTGTCCTCCCCCTCCTGTTGGGTGCCCCCACAGCAAGCAGCTTGCTATGGGGCACCCGAGCAGGCGTGCTCCCGAACTGCAGCTGTGCGTGTCCATTCACACACAAAGCTGCAGCTCGGACGCGCCCCTCTCACACGCCTAATTGGCTCACTGGCTGTGATTGACAGCAGTGGGAGTCAATGGCTCCTGCTGCTGCCTCAGCCAATCAGAAGTGAGTCCCCAGAGAACATAAGCTCTCGTGAACATCACTGGAGTGGGATGGGGTCAGTTAAGTGTTGGGGGGGCAGCATGAAGGATAGAATGCATGAAGGTAAAAAACCTTGAGCCTTTAGAAGCACTTTAAAAGCCTTTTGTATTTTTTTTTTTTTTTTTTTTTTTTTTTAATGAATGCTCATTGAAAGATTTTTCATATAGTGTGTGCAAGCAGTTATAAATTGGTGGCACACAGCAGAGTAAACAACATTTACATTACAGGTGACTCCAGAGTGGTATATGCAAAGCACCACAAAGTGTAGTTGGTTGTATGCCTTCCAAATCTTCCAGTGTGAAACTTTACCTCTGTACAAAAAATTGCTGTGATAAGATGTCACTGCGGTGCTCCCTCCTTGTGCAAGGTGACTGGTCTGGTCTCCGCCCCTCCTGTAGTTTTCTGCAGACAGCCTATAGGGGTTGGAGCCTGCTGAGTACCTCTTACAGCTCTGCTCTCCGCACAGTGATGGAGCCGACCCTACTTTTATATGGTAATATCTGGGTTTGGTGCTCACAGTGGATTTATAGCCTTTGTGGCTATTAAAGAACATATTTAAAGTGTGACTAAACCCAGGACCCTGAATTCATTATATCCGGTCTCTCACAGCACACACAACATGGAAATGCAATTATTTTAATAAATATAAACTGCTAAATACCTTCTCATCAGCAGTATATAACAGTCTTGTGACTTCTATCAGTATCCAGCAGAGCACATGTTATCCACTTGCCTGCTAAGCACTTTTACCCCTAATAGGTACTGGTGACATAGCCAGGACCTCAAGACTCCCCAGTGGGAAGGTTACGTCAACTGTACCTTCCTGGGAGATCTTGGTAGTAAACTGCGAGATCTTATGAGATTTTGAGAGATCTCAAAAGATCTCTTGGAAAAGGTACTTCTTTCCCAGCAGATAAAGTTAGTGTTACTAAACCCCGCACTGACTAGATCCGGTCTCCCCGGACCCTGCACTCGCTATATCCGGTCTCCCCGGACCCTGCACTCGCTATATCCGGTCTCCCCGGACCCTGCACTCGCTATATCCGGTCTCCCCGGACCCTGCACTCGCTATATCCGGTCTCCCCGGACCCTGCACTCGCTATATCCGGTCTCCCCGGACCCTGCACTCGCTATATCCGGTCTCCCCGGACCCTGCACTCGCTATATCCGGTCTCCCCGGACCCTGCACTCGCTATATCCGGTCTCCCCTCCCCGGACCCTGCACTCGCTATATCCGGTCTCCCCGGACCCTGCACTCCCTATATCCGGTCTCCCCGGACCCTGCACTCCCTATATCCGGTCTCCCCGGACCCTGCACTCCCTATATCCGGTCTCCCCGGACCCTGCACTCGCTATATCCGGTCTCCCCGGACCCTGCACTCGCTATATCCGGTCTCCCCGGACCCTGCACTCGCTATATCCGGTCTCCCCGGACCCTGCACTCGCTATATCCGGTCTCCCCGGACCCTGCACTCCCTATATCCGGTCTCCCCGGACCCTGCACTCCCTATATCCGGTCTCCCCGGACCCTGCACTCCCTATATCCGGTCTCCCCGGACCCTGCACTCCCTATATCCGGTCTCCCCGGACCCTGCACTCCCTATATCCGGTCTCCCCGGACCCTGCACTCCCTATATCCGGTCTCCCCGGACCCTGCACTCCCTATATCCGGTCTCCCCGGACCCTGCACTCCCTATATCCGGTCTCCCCGGACCCTGCACTCCCTATATCCGGTCTCCCCGGACCCTGCACTCCCTATATCCGGTCTCCCCGGACCCTGCACTCCCTATATCCGGTCTCCCCGGACCCTGCACTCCCTATATCCGGTCTCCCCGGACCCTGCATTCCCTATATCTGATCTCCCACAGTACACACAACATGGAAATGCAATTTTTGTGGTAAATATAAACTGTTAAATACCTTTTCTCATCAGGAGTTAGAGAAGTCTTGTGACTTCTATTAGTGTCCAGCAGAGCACTGGTTAAAGCTTGTAGGAGATTTGATTTTGCTCTAGGAGGATGCAGAACCTCTGACCTCTGTCTGGACAGTGCTGATTGGCCCTGTGCTGATCACATGCACCCTCCCAAAAAAAAAAAAAAACTCTAGCAGTACACACCAAACTGAGCATGTGCAGTATATCCCCGAAGTCGTGTTCTATCAACAGATGGATTGGGGATTGTAGATGGGGAGGATCAGAGAAGACAGGATCAAACAGCCCTTTTACACAATGCAGAGGATTAACCCCTTAGGTTCCACAGTGAGTATAACAAGCATGCTTTACTGCATCTACAGACTGATTGTACTGTTGTGGGTTTAGTAACACTTTAAATATAAGCTTGTGTTTGCGGAGTTCAGCTTTAATTATGTATTAATGAATACAGAGCTGCATTGATTTGTGTCCTTTACATCTTCCAAGAGTTCAGCTTTAAGTATCTCTGGCATTTAAATTAAAACGACCTCACAATATCGGAATATAATTTGATCCCCGATAATCCTGTAACTGGAGCCGTAGCGCCCTTATTAAATTATACATGAACAGAAACAATGCGGGGATTACTGAAGCTGAAAACGAAGGGCAATTCAGATGTATAAACGGCCTGAAAAATGATCCAGTGCAGACGGACCCCGGAGCGGTGTTCCAGGCAATTACTTTCCTGCGCTGGCAACATGACTCTTCCAAACACAATGTACTCCGGGTTAATTGTGCGAGAGTAGCTCTGCTACATTCTATCCAAGGTGCATGGATACAGAAGATGCCGTTACTGAGCAGCCCGCATTGTTTGGCTATTCAGCACGCGCTTTGATTTATTCTGAACTACAGCCGCACAATGACCCAGACCTCGTTAGTGTCTAATATTTAACCAGTCTACTTACAGAGGAGGTCAATGTATTGGATTGTACCTGCTGGGATTTATTTTATTGTATTCCTTTTGTTTCCCCTACAAATCATACAGTGTTCTACACGTTACACCGATCAATTCACATCAGTCCTTAAGCCGGCCATACATGGATCGAAATTCAGCTGGTTCAGCAGGGGCTGTCCGAATTTTGATCCATGTATGGGCTAGCTGGATCTACGGATCGACTTGTGTACAGGGGTGGACTGACAACTCATGGGGCCCCAGGGCAATAGGGGATCATGGGGCCCCTGTGTCCTTGCCCAAACTCAACAAAGCCTATGCAAAAAGGTACCAGGGGCATCTCATGGGGCCCCCTACTGACCCCGGGCCCTCTGGCAGTGCCTGAGTTTCCAAATGGTCAGTCCGCCCCTGCTTGTGTACAACCAGCCTGTTGGGTTTTTCTTGAAAGATCAGCGCCGCAGGATATAGCTGGCAACACTGATCATTGTATTCTGCCAGCTGGGAGTCTTCCCAACACAATGCTTAGAATGCAATAGCTCAGCGAGAAGAATTCCCCTCATCCAAATCTGTGGATGGGGGAATCAGTTCATATTTTTTTTTTTTTTTTTTTGATCAACCTTCTTGAATGCAAAAAAATGAATGTTATGGCCTGCCTTAACCCCAAAAGGTGCTTAACCACTTCAATACCGGGCACCTTCACCCCCTTCCTGTCAGGACCAATTTTCAGCTTTCAGCGCTTTTGCACTTTGAATGACAATTGTGCAGTCATGCAACACTGTACCCAAATGGAACTTGTATCAATTTTTGAGACAGGTAGAGCTTTCTTTTGGTGCTATACAATCACCACTGGGGGTTTTATTTTTTGCTAAACAAATGAAAGAGACAGAAAACTTTGAAAAAAATGTTTTCCTTTTGTTTCTTCTACAAATCATACAGTGTTCTACAAATTACACCGATCAATTCACATCAGTCCTTAAGCCGGCCATACATGGATCGAAATTCAGCTGGTTCAGCAGGGGCTGTCCGAATTTTGATCATGTATGGGCTAGCTGGATGTATACAAGTCGATCTACGGATCGACTTGTGTACAACCAGCCTGTTGGGTTTTCCTGAAAGATCAGCGCCGCTGCAGGATATAGCTGGCAACACTGATCATTGTATTCTGCCAGCTGGGAGTCTTCCCAACTCAATGCTCAGAATGGAATAGCTCAGCGAGGATTCCCCTCATCCAAATCTGGATGGGGGAATCAGTTCATATTTTTTTTTTTTTGATCAACCTGCTTCTTGAATGCAAAAAAATGAATCATGTTATGGCCTGCCTTAACCCCAAAAGGTGCTTAACCACTTCAATACCGGGCACCTTCACCCCCTTCCTGCCCGGGAAAATTTTCAGCTTTCAGCACTGTCGCACTTTGAATGACAATTGTGTGGTCATACAACACTGTACCCAAATGGAACTTGTATCAATTTTTGAGACAGGTAGAGCTTTCTTTTGGTGCTATACAATCACCACTGGGGGTTTTATTTTTTGCTAAACAAATGAAAGACAGAAAGCTTTGAAAAAAATGTTTTCCTTTTGTTTCTCCTACAAATCATACAGTGTTCTACAAATTACACCAATCAATTCACATCAGTCCCTAAGCCGGCCATACATGGATCGAAATTCAGCTGGTTCAGCAGGGGCTGTCCGAATTTTGATCCATGTATGGGCTAGCTGGATGTATACAAGTCGATCTATGGATCGACTGTGTACAGGGGCGGACTGACAACTCATGGGGCCCCGGGCAATAGGGGATCATGGGCCCCTGTGTCCTTGCCCAAACTCAACAAAGCCTATGAAAAAAGGTACCAGGGGCATCTCATGGGGCCCCCTACTGACCCCGGGCCCTCTGGCAGTGCCTGAGTTTCCAAATGGTCAGTCCGCCCCTGCTTGTGTACAACCAGCCTGTTGGGTTTTTCCTGAAAGATCAGCGCCGCAGGATATAGCTGGCAACACTGATCATTGTATTCTGCCAGCTGGGAGTCTTCCCAACACAATGCTCAGAATGCAATAATTCAGCGAGAAGGATTCCCCTCATCCACATCAAATCTGTGGATGGGGGAATCAGTTCATATTTTTTTTATTTATCAACCTGCTGCTTGAATGCAAAAAAATGAATCATGTTATGGCCTGCCTTAACCCCAAAAAGTGCTTAACCACTTCAATACCGGGCACCTTCACCCCCTTCCTGTCCGGACCAATTTTCAGCTTTCAGCGCTTTTGCACTTTGAATGACAATTGTGCGGTCATGCAACACTGTACCCAAATGGAACTTGTATCATTTTTTTGAGACAGGTAGAGCTTTCTTTTGGTGCTATACAATCACCACTGGGGGTTTTATTTTTTGCTAAACAAATGAAAGAGACAGAAAACTTTGATAAAAAAAATGTTTTTCTTAGTTTCGGTTATAAAATTCAGCAAACAAGTAATTCTTTTCCTGCACTAATGGGCACCCGGTGAGGCTGCATTGTTGAGGAGGCACTGATAGGCGGCACTTATGGGACTGCACTGATAATCAGTGTCCCGATGACCTGTGTAAATGTCCCCCTTCTACTGGATCCCCTCTCCTAAAAGCGTGTGAAGAAAGGAATGCCAGCAAGTTTGTTTACCATGTGATCAGCTGTGTCCAGTCACAGCTGACCACATGTAAAAGACCGCTGTGATTGGCGTCTATGGACATAGGTAGCAGAGCTCAGGAGCAATCCTGCACAAGTGCCCCCATAAGAAGCAGCTTGCTGTGGGGGCTGCTGTGTGAAAAACCTTTGCACAGAGCAGGTATTACATGTTTATATGTGTATGTGTATATTTAATTAAAAAAAAAAGGAAACTTTACAATCACTTTCAATGGGCAGTCCACCCTGAAGTGATATTCCAGTTATAAGTGGAGCATGGCTTCCTTTAAGTCTTGGAAAAAAACTTCAACAGTAAGGTAATCCCGGCCTCTGTACCTGTCCAACTGACACCTCGCACAAGCTTCACAGCCTTCATCAAAATCTACCTACACATTGCTGTACCTGCAATTCAATTCACATCGACTTCTCTAAGGGCAAATCCCAATACAGGGAGTGCTCATGAGATGACCCCATAAGCAGGGGCGTCCCTAGGGTTGGTGTCACCCGGTGCGGTAACACTTGGTGACACCCCCTCCGACGATCCCCGCAGGATGGATCGGATATGCGGATTGAGCATAATGGATCGGAGTCCGATCCATTATCCTCCCCAATCTGCAGATCCGATCCTCGCAGGATGGATCGTCGGCTTGTAACCTATATGGGGTTAACTGATCTCTCCACAAGCTCCACAAAAAGGTAAGTTTTAAAGCAAGCTGACGATCCCCGCAGGATGGATCGGATCTGCAGATTGAGCATAATGGATCGGGGTTCAATCCATTATGCTCCCCAATCCGCATTCCGATCCATCTTGCGGGGATCGTCGGCTTGCTTTAAAACATACCTTTTCGTGGAGCGCTCAGTTAACCCCATATAGGTTGCAAGCCGACGATCCCCACAGGATGGATCGGATCTGCAGATTGGGGAGGATAATGGATCGGACTCTGATCCATTATGCTCAATCCGCAGATCCGATCCATCCTGCAGGGATCATTGGCTTACTTTAAAACTTACCTTTTTGTGAAGCAGGTCCGGTGTCACCCGGTGTGGCGTGCACCCCCCACACCTGCCTAGGGATGCCCCTGCCCATAAGATTCTTTCAGGATCAACTGTGCACACATGACAAGAGACAAGGAAATTCATTCACTATTAGTATACATCTAGGCAGGGCAGTGGAGAAGGGGGTACCACCAGTCCTCCTGTACAAGGCCCAGGCAGCTGGGTGAATCAGATGTGGGCAGAGAGGGTGATTGGTACGGTGGTGGTGGTGAGGGGGGGGAATTACTGGAACAGATCCCCTGTATGGCTCTCTGCAGCAGCTGAAAGCCAGCGGGAGGGAGAGGGAAGAAGCCAGCTTTTAGCTGTTGCAGAGAGAGCCATACAGGGAAACTGCCCCACCCCGGTGCACCCACCACTTTCCTGTACACCATACATTTCCCCTTGCTGTCCCCCACCCCTGTAATGTTGCCGGCTTCCCTCTTCTCATTCCCAGCTGCAAGCATACAATAGGATCATTCAGGATGGAGAGTGGAGGAAGGGTCTGGTAAATATGTCACATTTACCAGCACCCTTTCTTTCCTAAATGAACACAATGAGTGACTGGTACCAATGAATCACTGTGTTCATTCATAACTGAAGCCTAATAACCTGTGTTTTCTTGTGAGAATGGGATGGCCTGTCAGGTTGGCTGCATGGGGCCCCTGTCAGGTTGGCTGCATGGGGCCCCTGTCAGGTTGGCTGCATGGGGCCCCTGTCAGGTTGGCTGCATGGGGCCCCTGTCAGGTTGGCTGCATGGGGCCCCTGTCAGGTTGGCTGCATGGGGCCCCTGTCAGGTTGGCTGCATGGGGCCCCTGTCAGGTTGGCTGCATGGGGCCCCTGTCAGGTTGGCTGCATGGGCTCTGTGGTTTCGAACAGCAGTCCTGCATCTAGGACAATGGAGGGGAGGGCAGGAAACCATTAATAAAGGGGTGCAAGGCATTTAGGATAACTTTATAATTAAAGTCCCTTCTTCTCCAAAAGTATATAAAACGTGCCAAATGAGATCTAAGCTGCGATAATGCACCACGGTGTGAGAAAATTGTAATAAGAATGTGGATTTATGTTTCACATGCACACTTTAATTCTTAATTTTTTTATGCTTTTTTTACTTTTACCTTTTTTTTTTCTTCCACTGTATGAATGAATTTACTCATGTAAATTCACTCTAAGTATTTGATTTTTAGTGTTTTTTATGTTTATTCACTAGCGCTGTTATTTAGTTTTTTTATTTTTCTTCACTTGGTGTCACAGTGGTTTGAACAGCTGATTTATTTCCCCTTTTTTCATCTTAGCGCAGATATATATTTTATTTATTTAACTTGTCTGTTGATACAGTTTATTTTTAACCTACAAATTCCCCTTATCTGCAAAGGCAGATTTTTTGTAAAGGTGAATAATGCCTTTAAGGGGAGGGGGGCAATAAAATTGCAGTTCAACCACCTATTTTTACTGCCTTCCATTATTTGACACATGTATTATTATACAGGACTTATATAGCACCGACAATTTGCTCAGCGCTTTACATTATGGAAGGAGACAATACAGCAACAATACAGTTCAATACAAGAGGGATAGGAGGGCCTGATCCTTGGAGCTTACAATCTAAGAGGGAGGGGCTAGTTGTACAAAAGGTAGTAACTGTGGGGGGAATGTAAACAAAATCCAAGTCCATCTAATTTCCTTACCTTCTGCTTCATATTCTTCTCCTTCGTTCTTCCAAAGCTGAAAAAAAAAAAAAAGAAGAAGAACAAAAGATATTAGCAACCAGAGAAAGCTGCGAATGTTCTGATGGAGAGACATGACTGGATGGTGACATTTTCAGTCAAGGCTGTAAAAACACATTCCCCTTTGTAGGCCGGGAGGGGGGTGACAAGGGCCAGACACCTGTTCTCAGGGGCGGCCTGGTCTTCTCCGCTCCATCAGTCATGCAGCAATCCCTCACATTGTCCCCATTAATCACAGATTCTATTATACAATGGCCTGGCCGTCGCCTTGGTTACGTCATTCAGCGGGTCACTTTTTATGTTTTTATTGCCATGAAGAGACCCTGGAAGCTGCTTTTCAACTTGAAGGAGGGGGGAGAAGTTACCTCAGGTCATAGGTCAAAGCTGCTGCAAAATGGCCGACGTCATGCCAGGGGCATTAAAGAAAACAGACCCTGTTGCCGGGTTTCGCAGGCAGTGTCACCCGTTCAGCAGCTGGATAGGCTTGGTGGGGGAAAAAGTTGGGCTGATTAAAAAAAAAAAAAAAAAGAATTTGAGGCTTCATTGTGCCGGTTCACATGCCTTGCTGGCTTATAAACAGATGGTGAGAGGTCCCTCTATTGTGGGCCAAGACGTCGCTGTAGCATCTGTACCACGCGGCCTGTTACATGTAATAATAAATGTAGCGACTGCCAGCCCCGTCCCATCTGCTCCAAGAAGTGGACTTTTGTTCTTCAGAAGAACTTGGGACTCATTTAAGGAGTTACTGAGGCATGCCGCCAGCTGAGCGCTCCGATGGTGGAACGATTTTCCTTTTAACCATCTGATAATTCTGATTGCAGCATTACCCAGCCGCCGCTCAGGACCGGTCCAATGAGCTCTGAAATCCATCACTGGGCAGTTGTCAAGTATCAGTCCCAGCAATAGTGCCTAAGGGTCCTTTTCACACGGGCGTTCCAAATGTCCGTTTATGGAAGAAGAAAAAAAAAAAAAATTGACCCGAATGTATTTCTATGGACTAACGGATGTAAGTGGATGATCATCTATTTACAAAAATAAAAGTCCCAGTCCAAAGAATAAAGAAATGTTGAACTCCACTATGCTCCAAAATCAACAAAAGGTGCTGTATACACAGGGGCGTCCCTAGGGTTGGTGTCACCCGGTCCGGTAACACTTGGTGACACCCCCTCCGACGATCCCCGCAGAATGGATTGGATCTGCGGATTGAGCATAATGGATCCACTATACTCAATCCGCAGATCCGATCCATCCTGTGGGGATTGTCGGCTTTCTTTATAACTTACCTCTTTTTGTGGAGCGGGTCCGGTGTCACCCCGTATAGGTTGCATGCCGACGATACCCGCAGGATGATTCGGATCTGCAGATTGGGGGAGCAAAATGGATCGGACTTCGATCCATTATGCTCAATCTGCAGATCCGAATCATCCTGTGGGTATCGTCAGCAGGTGCGGGGGGGTGCATGCCGCACCAGGTCGAGCTCACGGGGTGACACCGGACCCACTCCACGAAAAGGTAAGTTGTAAAGCAAGTCGACAATCCCCGCAGGATGGATCCGATACGTCCTGTGGGGATTGTCTGCTTTCTTTACAACTTACCTCTTTTCGTGGAGCAGGTCCGGTGTCACCCCGTATAGGTTGCATGCCGACGATACCCGCAGGATGATTCGGATCTGCGGGTTGAGCATAACGGATCGAAGTCCGATCCATTATGCCCCCCAGTCTGCAGATCCCATCCATCCTGCGGGCATGCAACCTATATGAGGCGACTCCGGACCCACTCCACGAAAAGAGGCAAGTTGTAAAAAAAAGCAGACGATCCCCACAGGACGTATCGGATCCATCCTGCGGGGATTGTCGACTTGCTTTACAACTTACCTTTTCGTGGAGTGGGTCCGGTGTCACCCCGTGAGCTTGACCTGGTGCGGCATGCACAACCCCCCCCCCCCCCCCCGCACCTGCCGACGATACCCGCAGGATGATTCGGATCTGCGGATTGAGCATAATGGATCGAAGTCCGATCCATTTTGCTCCCCCAAATCTGCAGATCCCATCCATCCTGCGGGGATCGTTGGCTCTCTTTACAACTTACCTTTTCGTGGAGCGGGTCCGGTGTCACCCCGTATAGGTTGCATGCCGACGATCCCCGCAGGATGGATCTGTGGAATATGGTGGAAAAACAAGTCCAATCCATGGAGGCCCCACATCTCAACCTAAATAACTTCAGTGACTGTAAACCCTCCTTATACCCTGTGAAGTGACTGACCTCAGGTATTACACAGAGATTAAACAAATCCTCCTACATAAGTTGTACCTGTTTATCTGTAGTCTTATCTATGTCCATTCAAAGTGTTGATTTTTTAAGCTTGTCTGAGCTGTCAAAAAACAGAGGGCAGAGAGCTGCAGTTACTCTCTGCAGAGCTCAGTGAAGAGAGGTCTGAAAGCCTATTGGAGGGAAGAGACACACCCTCCTTCACACAGTACATAGGAACAGAGCTGAGGCTGCCAATCTGTTGGATTCAATCTGTTGTCCCTCCCGTCACCATTTTTCTCTTCCTGTCAGGAAAACTTGTCAAAAGTGAATCGTGCTGATAGCAGAGGAATGAAGCAGCAGACAGAAATGACTTCGTGCTCTGGACTGAGACAGGAACACACTGTAGAGGGATATGCTTTGTTTCTATTTCATGTCTGAGGTTTACAACCATTTTAAATTGTGAAGGTCATGGTGATCCTCTTGCTTCAATACCAGGTCACTAATAAGTATATACATAAGATATAGGAACACTGAATCGCTGATTTTATGTGCATATTTTCTATGTTCATATATCTCATGTACATATTAGTGACCTGCATATTTTCAAAGCACTAAAGCCAGTGGCTCACGATAACCATTCAGGACAATCTTTTTAAGAGGTCAGCAATGTCAGCCTCCATGTTAATTTTAATGCTATTCTAACCAACAGATCCAGGCCATCACAGATACAAATGGTGCCAGGTCCATTCCCATAATAAGAACTGTAAAAATACCAAAGGAGAAGCAATTTACAACCAGGGCTATTTGTTCAGCAGGAACGCGGGGTTCCGTGCAGTTCCGGCACCTCCAGCACTGAATGTATGTAATGGCAAGGGGTGCTGGAGGGTCTATTGATGCTGGCTGCTGGGGGATCTATTTTTGCAGGAGGGGCTATTGTTGCTGCTGGGGGATATATTTTTACTGGGGATGGGTCTTATGTTGATGGGGGTCGATCACTGCTGGGAGGGATCTACTGTTGAAGGAAGGATCTATTGTTTCTGGCTACTAGAGGGTCTACTTATGCTTGCAGTTGGGAGTCTATTGTTGCTAGAGTGGATCTATTGTTGCTGTAGAGGTCTGGAGAGAATCTATGTTGACTGGTGGGAGGGATTTATAGTTGCTAGGAGGGGTCTATTGTCACTGGGGGGGGGGGGCTCATTGTTGCTGGGGAAGTCTATTGTTGCTGGCTACTAGGGGATCTATTATTGCTTGAGAGAATCTAAGGAACGGTGCTCGGAGGTGGCACCAAGGAACGGTGCTCGGAGGTGGCACCAAGGAACGGTGCTCGGAGGTGGCACCAAGGAACGGTGCTCGGAGGTGGCACCAAGGAACGGTGCTCGGAGGTGGCACCAAGGAACGGTGCTCGGAGGTGGCACCAAGGAACGGTGCTCGGAGGTGGCACCAAGGAACGGTGCTCGGAGGTGGCACCAAGGAACGGTGCTCGGAGGTGGCACCAAGGAACGGTGCTCGGAGGTGGCACCAAGGAACGGTGCTCGGAGGTGGCACCAAGGAACGGTGCTCGGAGGTGGCACCAAGGAACGGTGCTCGGAGGTGGCACCAAGGAACGGTGCTCGGAGTTGGCACCAAGGAACGGTGCTCGGAGGTGGCACCAAGGAACGGTGCTCGGAGGTGGCACCAAGGAACGGTGCTCGGACTTGGCTAGGAGGTGGAACCAAGGAACGGTGCACGGTGGTGGCTAGGAAGTGGAACCAAGGAACAGTGCTCGGAGGTGGAACCAAGGAACAGTGCTCGGAGGTGGGTAGGAAGTTGAACCAAGGAACAGTGCTCGGAGGTGGGTAGGAAGTTGAACCAAGGAACGGTGCTCGGAGATGGGTATGAGGTGGAACCAAGGAACGGTGCTCGGAGATGGGTAGGAGGTGGAACCAAGGAACGGTGCTCGGAGATGGGTAGGAGGTGGAACCAAGGAACTGTGCTCGGAGATGGGTAGGAGGTGGAACCAAGGAACGGTGCTCGGAGATGGGTAGGAGGTGGAACCAAGGAACGGTGCTCGGAGATGGGTAGGAGGTGGAACCAAGGAACGGTGCTCTGAGGTGGTTTGGGGGCGCAGACAAGGGGGACTCAGAAGAGAGCAATTCCTGCACCTATTCTCTGAGAAAAAAATCCCTGTTCACAACACCGTAGTAAAAGGACTGCCTCACAGTAGTGCAAAAACCTGCCTTGCTTGCACCACCTTCCGGCTGCAAATGGTAAATATATGCAATAACTCATATCCCATAATTCTTAACCAAATATTAATTCCACAGTAATTGACTTGGTATAATATTTGTCCTTGTTCAAATAGAAGTCCTTATTCAGTCCTTTAAAATAAAGAAGTATACAAAGACTCTAAACATTCCCTTGTAGAACCCCCTGGTGACCAATCACCCATGACATATAAACTAGCTGGGCTATAAAGGAAATTGTACATTTTTTTAAGTAAAGCTGAGAAGCAATTAATGCCAGGAGAGGTTAGGATCGTGTGTCTGGGTACTCCGCGAGTTATTACTTACCCATCTCCCCCATGGGTGTAACAATTCAGAATGGCTCCATAATGAATGTGTGCTGGGTCTAGCTGATTAAATAAGGCTGCCTGGGCTATTAATATTAAACAGCAGGTTACAACCACATTCATTATGTAGTCACTGACTGTACACCCCCGGGGAACACAACAACCATTAACTTGGGAAGGAAATTCATGCGCTCGCCCTA